GAAGTTAGGAAAGTAGCTTTACATTTGTTTCATTTTAAAACACCAGAGTGATGGTTGTTTTTGAAGTCAGCTAATGAGGCGAAAGATATTATATACTTCCAACAGCGTCCTTTTGTTTTTCTTTAAGGCAGCTGTGCAAAAAAACAAAGTGTTTTCATTTTTTTTCCAAATCACTGTAATTCAAGATTTGGCTGACGTACCTGCTATGGCTCTTATTCTTACATCACTAGTCTTCATTTGGCTCTTTCCAAAAGGTATTTACAACGAGACTCATGATTTCTTGGTTACCTAGTTGTTCCACGGTTACAATAAGGCGTTTCATGAAGTTATATATATCCACTGAAGACTGCAATGAGAACATTTGTAGCTAACACATTCAAATTTAAAGTTTTGATAACTGTTTTCGACTTTTTTTCGAAGTGATTGTAAAAACTGCTCTAAAACAGCAGTCGCTTAGCTTCATAGTCACTCATCCGTTTTAGAGCGATTAAAAACCTATACGCCCATTTTGTAATCCTGCTACTGATCAGTCAAAAGAGAATCAATTTTTTAAATCAGGTTTCAGTAATTCGAACTATTTTGAATTTATCTGCCAGTGTATCGACGACTGATTGGCCAAAGCGGTGTTTGACACGCTAAAAGAGGAAATAGTACTCAATAGCTTTTAATTCATTCTGATACGAGCTTATAATTCATGATAAAAAGCTAAGAAGCTCATGGTTTAGTATAGTATCGCAGCTGTTTTACCGCTGGACTGTTACTACCCGAATTAAGTCGATTTTATAGGTGAAGATGAAAAAGATCTTTAGCGGTCTGAAACCTGTCTTCAAGTCGTTTCTTGGTTGCAATTTCCCTTAAGTGCGTTGAAGTAAATTAAAAACAACTTACTTCCCTCACTAAAGGGGGATTTCTCTCGAATATCATTGGGCCTAGCTGATCTCTGTTTTGATTTCTGCCGTTAGAGGCTCTAATGATTTCAAAAGTAATGAAATCTGAAACGACCAGCTAAAAAAGAACTGGTTTGTAACCTGAGATGCGACTTGCACAAAACAGAACCAGGTTTTGAACTTAAAATATGATCAAATATGGCTCCGGTGTACCGGAACATTCAAGAAACGGGCCCTTACAGGTGTGTATTACAGGTGGCGAGGGTGTCAGCAGGGTGGCCGGTGTGTCGATGTTAAAAAATGTGGTGATTATGGAATCATTATTTGTGGATGTAGGAGCGTGCGGGGTGTGTGAGCGGGTAAGACACGTGACTATGGTCTGACCTATTAGAGTCCATTTCTTAAGGAAAACTCAGATTCGCATTCTTAAATCCAGAAGAGATTTTTCGTTCCTTTATTATAATCCAACAGCGAATTCTGGACCTCAGGAATCCCTCACTCGGAGTGCATTCATTCATTAGATCAAAATTAGCCTGTTCCATGCGTTCAGATAGTAGAGCACGGGAGAAAAATTCACGAAGAAAGTACTACTTAACTCGCTCCACACTTACCGCCGCGCTCTACTATCTGAACGCCTTTTGGTCGAGAAAGACAAAAGTCCTTTCGGATACAGTAAAACCTTACGACTACGAACCTGGATTTTAAGAAACTGTAGTAAAATTTGCCAGTTAAGCCCCCTCTATAATAAGAACCTGTTTAGCCTAAAATTTAAAACAGCTTCTTATTTTCTAAAATCTATGAAAAAATTTTGTACACTTTGGCAAATAAGATAAGACAACATTCAGAATCCTCTTTGGAGACATTGATGCCTTATCACTCCAACTTCAATGCAATGCATCCGGCATGCAGGTTTTATAATGAGATATAAGCTGAACCAACTTAGAAAATAATAACCTATTTAAGAACCTAAATAAGCTAAACTTGTGCTAACTACCATTTATATAAGAACCTGTTTAGACTGACTTGGAAAAATCCAGGTTCTTAGTCGCGGGGTTTTACTGTACACGAATCGGCATTTGAATTATCCCCCGCCCCTCCCCCCTCCCCCCCCCCCCCCAAAAAAAATTCCTAAAATCTTATCTTTCATCTGGGTACCATGGCGAGGCGGGGAGGCGGATTTTGTTTTGGAGTCGGCCAGGCTGAAGCCTTGTGGCCTTATGTCCTAAGGCGGCACCAAGTGGTACTAGTATCAGTTTCAAAGTTTTACGACAAATGCTAAAGGTACATCCATAACCTGAGAAAACAGCCGGCATTTTGCGGCGACAGATATGGGTAGTACTTCTGATTGGTGCGTGTCGCGGCGTGGGAAATTTGCTTCAACCAATCAGAAGCACTTAACCAGATCCGGGTAGTGACACGTCATCAGTATAGAATTTCTGCGCTCGTCCTCAGAAGTCATTTCGCGGAAAAAAGCAGTGGTGACGTCGCAAAATGTCCGCTATTTTCTCCGACTTCTACATCACTGCGAAATTCATGACCTCAGTCTTTGGTGTTGTGATTCGCAGAGCTAACAGGATTAAAATGTTATACATGTGACGGAGTCGCGGACTGCAACAAAGAAAAAAACGAGGAAGTATGTAGTCAAGAACCGACTGCCATGGACAGATGCCTGTTGATGATTGACAAAAAAACCGACAGGGTAAATGTTAATCTCAGTTTCTCTTCATTAATTCGTCGCTCTAAGTATTTCAAGTCCCACGAACAGCTACTGCTTTAAAACCATTTGGATAAACCTTTCAAAGCATCATTTTCTGTATTAATTCATTATTTATTCATTCATCACACGTAAGAAGTAATTAAAGTAATTTTAATGCAATGAAAGAAAGTGAAATGTGAATGTATGATAGGTCTGGTCCCGCGAAATATTTCTATTCCAAATTCGCGAAATTAAAGTCGCGCGAAAATAAGTGATATTTAATAAGGTACGCACTATTGTACAGTTAATCTATTGTTTTCTTTTGTTTAGTTATATAGCTATTTTGCCCTAGTTGTTATAATCTGTTTTACGGGTCAATTAAATTTACTCTAATCCGATTTGTCACCTTAGAAATTTGGATGACCTTTGGGGCTCGTTATTTTCCCGTCTGTATATGCCTCATTTTTATACCTGAGGGCCTGTTTCATATCGGCAGTTTTGGCTGCGCTGATCTTTTGTCTGTATAACAGCGTGTTTGAACTTATAGTTCAGTTAATATGTTAATAGTTATTTCTTTCAGGTGGCAAGAAGTTGTTCCAACGATAGGTTATGTGGAACTGCTGTCCAAACTTGTGCACAAACCAATGAAGCAAGAACTGGGGATTGTGAAGTCAAATGCTGTAAAAGTGACCTATGTAATGTTGCCTCCAATACATCCCCCTTTTCTTTGTTTTCTCTGATGACCTTTGCAGCTACTGTTTTGTTAACAGTTGTTTGTTGAACGCCATCAGACGTCTAGTCGGCAACACTTCTACGCAGTAAAATCCAGGACCGTAATTAGGACGCTATTAGTATTCATCATCACCATGCATGTGCACAAACTACACGCTCACGTTATCTTGGAATAAAATTTTATAGCTGCGAAAACAGTGATAATTAAAACCAGTCTCACATTAACACTCTCTTTGGAGCTTCTACCCTTGTTGCAAAGATCTCCATGGCAACATTCATACGAGCATGTACCAGCCAAAACGGTATGCTTATTACAGTGGCGATCGGAATTATAACAGTCAGTTTGAGCAGCGCAGTCTTTTATAAATATTTTCTTGATGCTACTGGAGGCGTTCGAGCTTTCTTGGCCGCTAAACTTAGCACAGTGTTCTGTACCGTAAGGACATATCTTTTTAACTCTGTTGATGTTACACTGCTTCCATGAGTCTGTGCTTCGACATGTGAAGCAGGTTGCTCCTGCAAAAAAAATTCACAAAAAATTGGCGTACGCAGTATTTGTAGAATAAAAGCCTGTGGACCGAGCAGTGAATTAGAGAAGTAACTTTAATTAAACATAAAGTTAGGAGTCCCAAACTCACGGACACAAACCAGTTAGCTATTTACCAGAGTGGTCAAGGATTTGAACTCCAGGATCAGAACGTGAATTAATCCAATTGTTGGTCAGGACGGGACTCTTAAACTCGGGACTGCGGATTACAATTTCAACGCTCTAACCCCCTCGGTTCACTCCATGTTTTATTTACTCCATGTTCTATCAATCCAGTCCATTTTACCACTATTTTACTAGAACATTCCAAGTTTTATCATATGTCCGCTCGGTTTCGCTGCATTCTGAAGTTAAAGGCAAGTTACCATATAATACTGGCCAGTCAAGTAACAAAATTCTCCTTTTAATTATAACCAATTATTTAGTAAAAACGTAGCGGCCTTAATGGCAATTGTATACTCAGTCTCTAGAGTTCATACTTATTTGATCGTTTTCATTGCTGGAGAATTGTAAGTCATATTCGTTGATGCCATTTATATCGTCCCGGGATGGACAATGTGTACACCTTAGGAGCCCACTATTAGCAATGCGGTAAATATTCTAAGTTCTAGATTGTACACTGTAAGTTGGTGAAATGATTGTCCTACAACTCCAGGGCGCGTATAGTCACTACACCGAGGGACTGTGCAGGTTCTCAACTGATTATGCAGAGGCAGGGATATTGACTTTTGTTGGCACTGAATTTTAAACCAAATGTCTCTTTCAAGACAATGGCACACAGGGTTTACTGACCTGCGCAGTAGCCCCATCCTGTTCCGTTTCTTGTTTCATCAAATCCAGCCTGGGTGGCGCACCAGTGCATCTTGGGGGATTTCCCCTCTGATGTCGCGCAGTTTGTGTACTCGATACCGCGATATTGAAAGGGAAAGACGCAGCAAATTCCGTCGGTAGTTCTTACAAAGCACTGTGATTTCACACCGATTCTGACTGACAAACAAAAGAGGTGTCAAAAATTAAAAAACGGATCTTGCAAAAAATCGAAACGTGCAATCTGTTCAATCAAGTAGCTCACACTTGTATTTATTTTGCAAAATAAATGGATGCTTCAGTTTGAATATTGAAACCTTTCAAGACCTCTATTCAGCTTCAGAAAGGAAAAGATGAAAAAAGCCCCTTTGCTAAATATCAGCCTGTTAGTACAAATTGGTGAGGAGATATAAGCACCAGTTTGTTCTGATGACTCCATGCAAATCCATCAAGAGGATTGGATTGTAACGTTAACGATCCAACCTCGTCCCCAGGACTTTTCCCTTAAAAAATGGGTGGGGTGGGAAAGGCCCCACCCATTTTTTAAGGGAAAAGCCCTGGGGACGAGGTTGGATCGTTAACAATCCAATCCTCTTGATGGATTTCTTTAACTTTCGATCTCTTAGTTCTTCTCTCTATTTTCGATAAAATAAAAAGTTCGGCCCACTCTCGTTTGTACGAATTCCAATAGCCGTGTGGTTTATGAACTCGATGCGTGAGTTTTACTCGAGTTCACGTTAGTTTCGTGGGATTAACAAAAGGAAGTTTAGCGTTCGTTTTATTTCGACACCCAAAGTTAAAAACCTCGTTGTGGGGGGTGCGGGTAGGGGTACTTATACAAGTCATACAGGTATGTACCTCCCTAAACGGTAGGATTTTTGCTCAATAAAACAAAAGTGAATGCACGACTGGCACTACGGCAAAGGGCGTTTTGGTCTGAAAACAGGTATACTGAGACTTTGCTAGGCTGATTTTACAGTGGGGAATATATATTTTTCTTATACCAGTATTTCGGAAGGCACGGCGTTCCTTCAGGGTCTTAAATACTATAATATTGGTAAAAGAAAAATATATATTCCCTAATGTAAAATCAGCCTTGCTTCTTTTGTTTCCATATATCCAATTATAGCTGATTAGATCCTTTATTAGGGTTCGGTCCTTCTTTTTTGGAAGTTGGTCCTTGCTTTCAAAATTGAATGACTTTGCTCAATTTGGTCTGGCATCGAGTATGGTTTTCAAGGGAACTACGGGAGTGTATAGAACGTATTGATCCTTCAATTCCAAATGAGTATTAAGAAAGAAAAGAGAAATAAGCGACCGGAAGTGGATTTTACGACATCTTTTTTGCTACTGTTCTAATCTAAGTAACGATGACATAATTTCTTAGAGACCAGGTCTGAAAATGGTTATGAATTTTGGAGGCCAGGGCTGGTAACGGGTGAGAAAAAATGACGTCTTTTGGTCTGAAGTAGGGTCAAGACTTGGAGAACCGCGCAACACGCACACTCCCACCAAGAATTCACAGGAGTACCCCCCCCCCGGAGAGTTAGCAGAGTCTTACATTTGCAGTATCCCCAGCCTTCAGTGTGATTTTTATCGTACTTGTAGTCTGTAGCGCACCAAAAGCGATTGTTAACATCTCCATGACTTGTGCAGCTTTTGTATTTCGTGTTCTTGTAATAAAATGGAAACTGACAGCAATTGCCATCAAGAGTTCTTTGGGCACACGCTACGTTTTTCTCGCATAAATAACCTGCAAAAATCAATCAATAAGAAATGAAAATTCATCATTATAGTTAATAGGTTAACTAAACTCTTCCTTTTGATTATTGTAACTGCTCATCTATAATTGTAGCTCTACTCAGTTCTCATTGACCTACCGTTTGGCATCATTTCGTTAGGACAGCACAAAAAAATGCTCGAGAAATTAAGACAACTAGTCTTCCAGTGTTTGAGCTATTGATGATATATAATGACCCCTATTGGACATATAAAAGATCTTTTAAGAGCCCAGTTACCCTTAACAATATATCAAGCCTGATATGAAATGTAATGAATGACGGACATTCGCACTAACGATAGCCAGTATAGACTACGATGAAAATGTTAAGAATTTTCCTAGTGTGAACTGCCACAACGTCTGAGTGCCTTTAGGTGACCTTGGGTGGGAAGGCAAAGCGTACAACTGCGAAGGCAACCTGACTTCTATTCTACTCTCTCGGTCCTAGGACTCGTCTCTCTAGCTAAGGGACGAGTAAATGAGAGGACCATAGGAACGATGTTGTAGATTCTTTGGCTGGCTAGCCTGATTCTCAGACGTCCGAGGTCGTTCACCGGCCATTTGCTTCTCTCTCCCTCTCCCGAGGGAGAGAAGCGAATGGGCTGCAGCAACCTCGGATGTCTGAGAATTAGGCTATGGCTTGGCTTCGTTAACCCATTCGCCCCTGAACCGCCTGTAACCGCCCGTGCGGATCCACGTCCTTTCTACCCTTTGTGACGTGATCAGTTTTAACGGTCAAGGACAAATTTGTCCACTAAGTTGTGCAGAGTGAAGAGATCTTTCAAACCATACCAGAATGAGCACAATTCAGTCAAGGACACCGGAGATTGGCCAAAAAACCATGTGACATTGACCTGAAAATCTCCATGAAAATCTTGTTCTATTAATGCTCACCTGCCTTTCCTTTCACCTAATCCTAAGATCCTTAAAGCTTTCCTAAAAACTCTTCCCACCAAAAGGAAGCCTACTAAATGCCCAGCAAGAGAAAAAATGAGGCAAGAAAAGCGAAAAAAGAGGGGAGGAGAGAAAGCGAAATTTTGCTTTCTGCGCGCGCATGCCCGAACTTCGCCGCAAGCTGATATTTTGCATCTGGATCAGAAGGCCACGAAGTATACGACCTGTAAACCGGTTTGTGGTAAGTTTTAGCTCTTTATAGCACGACAGTGACCAGAAAACCACTCGACTAGCTTCAAAACGCGTTTTTCGGCAAAATCTCCAGGAGCGAATGGGTTAAAATACATGTGGCCAAACGTTTGCCTAGTCACTAGGTCTCATTATTCCGCGCGGCCTACGCGTTTCGCGTCACGTGGTCCGTGCTGACTGCATTGACCGAGACTGGGCCTGGAAAGACGCCGTTTAATGACTAGGCAAGCAAAAGTTACTGACCGAGTTGGTGGTTTAGATACACAATTATACAACCTCGATCACCGCTACCGCCTCACAATTACCGTATAACAAACAACGAGTAAAATCCTTTGCTTACTAAATCAGCTCGAAAGTTCAGACAAGGGTTTAGAATATTATGTTTCAAAGTTGTGGCGGTTCCATAAAATTGTTACATCTCAAGCTAAAAATACCGATTGCTTCAGTCACTGGTACCTACTGACTAAAGCCGACTCATACCACACCGGCCGTTTGAGAATTACGAAGTCTTACGGAAATCCACGACAGCTTCCCGAAAAAGGCCCAAAGAACGTTTACTTAGGAATATAGATCATTGGGTCAAGATAAACTTTGATGGAAAACTACTGGAACATTTTATTTCTCAACATCACATAACACAAGGCAGTGTCTCCGTTAGATTTTTGGGTGCAAATGCAAAAAAAGAGCTCGTCTCATAGCTAGAGTCGGTAGTTCAGTCGGCAGAACGACAGGTGGTCCATGAGGAAGCCTACACAAACATAAGGTAGGACTGCGAATTTGTATTGGAGCCCTAAAATTATGCAAATTTTTTCTTTATCGGATCATTCGAGTCATGCTGGATTTGCGGAAAATAATAAATGACTTGTGCATTCGATTCTCGAATGCTTTGAATATATTTATTTTAACTTGGACCTGGGGAGTTCCAAAATATCACCCTCATTTTCAATCGCCGATGCAGCAGTTTGACAATACGCACTAATAGCGTTTCAGTTCAACGGCAAGTTTCAAAAGCAGAAAAGCTTCAATGCCCCCAGTTACAATAATGATTCACTTGTTTCAGTTTGACAGATCAAGGCTCAGTGCGTGCTAGTTTCAATAGCTAAAGCTGATTATTTTTCTCATGTTTATTTGGCGGCAGTGAAAGTGACTGTGTATCACGACAAAAGCGTCATAAAAATTCAGTTGACCACCTACGAAGGATCAAAGCGTTAAGTTTCTTAATTGAACGCAATGAACGGTTCAAAAGAACTTACGAGTGCCAAAATATAAAGACATATTCGTTAAAACATAGCCGGAAATTAGTACCTACGCGACCAGCCGTTTTCTAAAGGGAAACTATTGTCTTTGAAAAGACCCGGATAATTCCAAAGATAACTAGGCTTCATACTGATATCTTGCCAAAAGCAACGGACTTTTGTCGATCAACTAGCAGACGGGCAAAGAGAGACGAGTAAGATTAGGATTTTTAAATCAGTCTCTTAATTTTCTTACTTACCTTCTATGAAAAAAGCCATAGCAGCAAACAAACAAGCAACGTTCATCTTTGATGGCACAAGCGTGATGTACACCTGGTAATATTGTTATGACCTAAATATGCACTACATCAAAAATTCCACATTATTAGACATTGTCATGATTAATATTTCATGCCACAGACAGACACAGAGAGAGTCTAATATAAGTGACTCGACATCCATCCAGAATTACAAACCGAAGCGTAACATCAGCGAATTTTTGCCGTCCCAGAGGAAAATAAATCGATCGAAAATACACGAAACATGGTATGATGCATGGGCTCTTCGGATTGAAGTGTCATGTGACCCTTGTTTCGTTTTCGTATTGTGTCGTTTAGTCGTTAAATTTATTCATTGACCCTTTAAAAACGGAAATATTAGTGGAGCTAAGGCCAGGGGTGATAACCGTATTTACACCGCTCGCAGAAGGTATTAGAGATACTGACCTTTGTGATGAAAACTGTAAACCACGTGATAAATCATGTGCACATATTACTTTGCTTCCTCGGTCTTTTTGAGGCCGTGAGCCTTTGACGCCCTTTTTGTCGAGAAATGAAGGAGTAGTGAGTGGAAGCCCTCCTAACGGACACTCTCGGCCACCTTCACGAAACCTCGTTTTCTCAACTCCCATCATGGGAGGCTAGAAGAGGCTGGATGTATATTCTCTTTCATATCTCATTGAGGAATGCCTTCAAGTATTCTGTTTTGTGCCTTTTAGTTATCGTTGAACTCTATCCAGGTGAAGTATAAAACGCATTGCCGTTTCTGGAACTGGATGCCGATATTTCCAGGCTCGTAAAGCTGTTTTGTTTTCATTCAAGATTTGGAGTTCAAAGGTTTGAAAAAGGATTAGAGCCCGCCTTACTTTTCTTCAGAATGTTTATTTTGAAATATGACTTCGGGCCCGTTAAATTACCGGGGCCTTTCGAGAAACGTGCAAGAGTTTCCTTTTCCATATTCCCATACAATTCTTCTAAATTCAACCATATCTTTACACAATTTGTGTGGGTGTGGCTGTGGCTACTTGTGGTCCATGGAGCATTCTCATGCATGTAAAGCCCGTTCTTACGGTCACAGGTGCGCGCGCACATGTCATGAAAAGAACCAAACGTGGTGAAGTTGTACTGTATCGTTTAAGAGTTGCATTCCTCCAGTGAGGTGGATTGCGGGCAGATATAACATATTTGAAAAGAGACGGCTGTAAATTAGCATGCGCATTCGCCAGCGTGCGCGCGAGCACTACGATTATTTTTCGAGTACGAGGAGGGATAAAACCTTGCCTTGCGTGCAACGAGCATTTTAGAAAGTACAACTCGCGAGCAGCGAGCACTTCCATTTTGTTTCTTTAGCTCATATTTTTGAGCACGGTAAATGTGAAAGCCTTGGTGACTCTTCTCATTGAGCATTTTAACTCAAAAATCAGCGCCAACAGTTCATCAGTTTTGCTATCAATTTTCTTCCGCCGTATAAGACACTCTCAAACGAATCAGCAATTGGGGCTGCAGCTATTTTACCTCGCGATTCTCGTATTATGATGATCGCGAAGGGATGGTTGTCTTTGAAGAGATTCCTCAGGTTCCTAGCCCTGTAGCAAGGAAAAGATGCAGAGAAGATGTGGAAGAGATCAGGTAATGGGCTAGGACTTATGGCGATAGCACACGACAGCTGAGCGTCAGAGCGAAATCAACCAAAAGACAATCCAGGCACTCTGCCTGACAGCGCTTATGGCCGACGGAAGCATCCAAACAATGCAGCGAGTTTGGAGGACCTCACTGAAAGATTCGAGAGGAAAGCGTAACAGCTGAGGTGAATGGAGAAACTGTTGAGAGAGAGGAGACTATTACACTTGTTGCGAACAAAGACGTTCAAACAAAGATGTTCAAGTTCAAAGGGATCAGTGGACCCTTTATTTTAGGAACGCTTGCCCAAAACCTTAAGAGAACATCGCCTAGAGTAAAAACACACCTGTAGACACCACTTTCTAAAGACAAGAATTGCACGTACATGTACAAAATATCCGAAGAACCATTAGGTAACATTTTTATTCCAATTCTTCCTGTTTCTTTTGAATACTAAAAAAATCCGTGGTAAGATCAAACTATCCCCCAAACTACCAGACAAAAATTTTCCAATTGAAATCCCGAGACTGTGAAAACCCATAACTATCCTCCATGAGGATAGGATAAGGATAAGGAATTTATCACAAGAAACCCAACAGGAAAAAAAATAAGGAAGAAGTCTGTAAACCACACTACAAGGTAAAATAATGCATGAATGAATGATTTTTTATTAATATTGTAGTGTTAGAGATACACCTTACAGACAAGGCTATGCGAGGTAGCCACTGTTCCATGTAATAATTGCCTAGTACAGTAAAAAAGCACAATTCTAATTTCTTACTCCCTTACAATAATGTACCGTTAATGATCGATTAAGCACCGCTACCCGAAAAAGTACCGCGCCTTTACCCATAATTATTTTATAGGCGCAGCTCTCGAATAAGCACCGCGGCGCTAATTTGGGTATTTATAAATTAACGCCTCACCTTTGTTACGGCACTTGATATAAAGAGAGATCGCTGGAGAATTAAGACTTCGAGTCCTCTACCAACTCGTGAGTTCTAAAGACTTAATTTAAAGAAACTCTTGAAACCAGTTCATCTAACAGTTTGAGGTGTACGTATTTTACATTAAATTGTGCATACTCAGAGCGTGCCTCACTAATCCTTTCTACATTCCCCTCGGTGTTTTACCCGTAGTTAAAATAAGCGTCGCTCTCGAATAAGCATCGCTCTCGTATAAGCACCGCACCTATAACAGGGAAAATCAAATAAGCGTCGCGTCGCTTAATCGATCATTTACGGTAATGAAAAGAACCTTAAAAAGACCAAGTCACATTGTATCATTTTCAGAAACCCTGGGCAGCTACAGGAAGAGACATTTTTTGGTCAATCAAATGAAGGCACTTAAATTGTTCTTCAGGCCAAGATTCTTGCCTGTAAAAATTTATTCAATCCAAATTAGTTCCCTACGGGTCTTTGATACAACACCATTGAATAACATCAGTAAAAATATGAAGATTATACAGTCAAGTAAAACTTATGCAGGGGGTCTGGTAGGACCTAAATTCGTTATTAGCACAGTCATGATTACTCAGCAACAAGCCTAGCTCTATTCCATGAATTTCTGATGATTTGTTCGACATTACGTGCCTCGGGATGACGCAGGACATGAGGATGAAAGGCACCAGGATTGGGCGGCTCCCCTTCCTTCTGAGCACCACTGCTATCATGATCATCAACGTACATCTCCAGCTCAGTGGCAGTACAGCAGCACAGACATTTGCGAGTTGTCTTCAACTCCAAATCCTTGAAGAATCGATAGTCCATGTACTCTGTTCGAACTAAAGAACAATATTATAATAAATGAGGATAGGCTAGTTAACTTCTTCTTTTCTTAAGACAATATCATTACACAGGATGGGTAACATGCTTGGACCCATAAATATAACTAATAACTAGTGGTGTGCCAATCATCAATTATAATCAAGCATTGATCAAAATCTTTCGGCAATGCGATAATCAATCATGGAAAATGTTTAATAATAATATTGATAATCACAGGAAAAAAATCAATTTGTGTGTTGTCTGTTTGAAAGTCTCATCACTTAGAACAGAAGATTTAATCACCCAAAAATACAGAAAAAATTCTGAGTTGTAGGGGAGAATTGAACTCGTGTTCTAGATCGGACAGTCTAACCACTACGGGACTGGAACAGGATTGAATCCACTGATGTCCCTTTTCTGATATTGCCAGCACTCTCAAAGATCTCAAAAATTATGTCATAAAAAATGTTCAAAACCTAATATTACCGGAAACACAAACATGTGGGTCGCGACTATAGTTTCACAGCAAAGAATTAATCAATTTTAACACAGGCTGCGGTTAAACAATGGAAAACTGATGATCAATTCATTTTGTTCAATTGCTTAAAAAATTCTGAACAGCTAATTCCATTGTTCATAAGAAGACAGGGCAAGAATGTCTACTACCTTTGCTCCTTGGAAAGAGGTCGCTCCTGAGGAAGGGACAAGAGGTCTGTTTCAGTGACATAATAACAATTTTCTCACCTTCCGTCCACAATCCACAAGGAGGTTCCCGTTTGTAGAAAACACCCTGTCCTGTCACACGCCAGTATGTTTTTGCCAAGCAACATGGGCAGAAGTAGGCCACGCAACATTCTCCACAGTCCTCTTTGTAGGCAATTCCAGGAGCTGGAGTCACTCCCGACCACTTTGCAGCACTAAGTTCAGCTTCTCTCTTTTTCTTCTTCAATAATCCAATGAGCTCTGTCAAGTAGATTCTGTCACCAAGGCATGTGATTCCAAGTTCATGAAGATGACCCTATCAAAAATAATATTAAAGCAAACAAAACAGTCTGATCTTCAGTGGTTTTCATCTAAATTTATGACAATAATATTAATTCATCTGTATAGATTCTTCATTTACATCTTAATTTAGGAAAAGTGTCTTGTTCATTCCCATCAGCACCAGTTTATAACACTTCAAAAGGAATTATATATCACAAGAAAGTGAAAGAATACTGCTCATAATCAAAACCACGACAGGCAGGTTGTCTGACAAAATACAACATGTTGTGGGCCTTTGTGCTTGTCAGACATCTCCAAGCCCTTGCTTCAAATTACACGGTTTTAATTGCCTCTTGGTCGGTTCAACCCCCTTTTGGGCAGAGACCTCCCTTGCCTGTAAGGCCATCATAGGGAGTGCCCCTGGGATGAAAGTGCACTGTGGCATAATATCAGATACCCTGTCCCTGTTAATGCAAATGTACATGTACCTCTGTAAGAAGCATAAGACATTTTCCATTGATCTTGTTCACAGAAAACATTTCAGCCATGTAACCCAGTCCAGCACGCTCAAGAAAATTCTGATTAACCTCTTGCACAGACCATCCTATGAAGATACAAATAATAAAATGTACCAGTACTAAAACAGAAGATTATCTTAACTTGATCCAAATCACACAATTTATACATGTATACGAAGGCAGACTGATTTGCAGAAAGAGCATTATAGTAAACAATCAATGCAATCTTCAGAGGTGGCCAGGTCTCTGTGGGAGTTCATTAGACTTTGAATTTATAAGAGAATGTACGAGAATAAACAAAATATGTCCTAAAATATTCCATTTTTTGACAAAAATAGAAGTAAATATGACGCACCTTGTGTTTTTGTTACCGTAGATATTTACTTTGATGACCGGGTAACTCAACCTGATGTAATCAACGGTCACTTAAAGCTTACGTCATAGTGATAATTTGCCTCCGCCTAGGAGCGGGCAAGGTGTATCACAGGTAGTACAGTGGGAGGGCCCCTGGGTTCATTTGACTGAGACAAAGCATGCCAGAACATTGCACAAGCGCCTGGGTATTTACACAATAATACTCTGTCTGCAATTGGAGTTGAGGGAGCCTTCCACCGTGCTACTCGCGACAAAACATGCCCACTCCCGGCCCGGATGGAGCCAAATTGTTGCTGTGAAGTAAGCTTTGAGCAACTGTTGATTACGTCAGGTCTAGCTATCTGGTTATGCACATCACGAGAAAGAAACTGGGATGGAAAAAATTTAAATCAAGCGCTTCGCTAGCCGTTGTGATAAATGCTGATCAGAGACTCCAGAAGCATAGAAGGAAAAGACAAATTATCAGCAGATCCTTCAACTGCAATTTTGGTGAGATTAAGACCATTTTTATGAGATTTATGGAACTTTGAGATGGGACAGTTGGCTTCAGACTTGCCAGCCTTCCCATATTTCTTATTGTTGACTAGAATTCAAAATCTTAAACGTCGATAAAATGGCTTCCAAATGGCTCTAAATAAATAACAAAACAAAAAAATAAGGTGAGTCATTTTTAATTTCTATTACTGTGAAAAAATGGAATTTAGTACGTATTTTGTTTATTTTCATACATTCTCTCATAAATTCAAATTCTAATGAACTCCCACAGAGTCTGGGCCACATGTGGAATCAAGTGATTCTATTTTTGAAACTGTGTCAATTTAGTGTTGCAGCTATCCCTGAACCACTGCAATCCCAGAGAAATTAATAATTTGAAAATGTTATGATTTGTAATATACAGTTTTGATCTTAATTTTGATTCTTGCATGACAATATTAAACTTTGACTTTTGTTACTCTAAGGCCAGGTATGGTTCTCAATAGTACAACATGGGAACAACGAGACCAGCAGAAGGCAAAAAAGCTCTAAAACAAAAACAAGGGTTACTAAAACCACTCTTCCCATAAAAGTAACTTCACAAAATTCAACTAAATGAAAGCAATAAAAAGTGTCATCTTAAGGACAACCATGAAATAAAATGAAGGCAAATTGATAACACGTAGAACAAAAGCAGTACTAAAAGGCATAATGTACTCCATAATTATAGTATTCAGGTGTATTTGGCTCGACATCTTACTTATTCTGAGGCTGCTTAAGACGTGCAATGAATTTTACACCAAAATGAGCCTCTGCTTCGAAGAACACCATTTGTATATATGTGCACCTTACAGTTTTAGAGTTCTATTGGCCCCATGTGGGCAGACCAGTGCGGGTAGGTGCTCTGCAGACTCTGCTTCAGTGTGGCCTATCTCCCAGTGAGTGGGTAATAGGGGTAGAAGAGTCATGGGCGGCCATTTTTTGCCTGTTTTTATTTTTTTAAATTAAGTTTTGGTCATAGTTACAGCAGCTGTTCAAAAATTGCTTTTCAATTTGCACAGATATACGACAATCTAGGTTGGAATGTTACTGTTGAGGTATCTGCTGCATAGAGGAATACGAGGGAGGATTATGTCAAAACTAACCAATAATAAATTACTGATTTTTGCTTCTGTCAATCATGAAGCACACAAGATAGACCCGAATCTACCAATTAACCTACAGAGGTGACCTTTTTGAGCAGCTGAAGAAGACCCTGAGCCCTGAGGTCAGCTAGGCAGATTGACAGAAGCAAAAAACATAAATGGTTAATTTTTTTCATTTTAGAGTTTGCGTGTCATTGAAAAGCTAAGTGCAGTAATATGGCAATCATGTCATATTTGTTTTGTTTATACAGTCAAACCTCCATGTGCGACCATCTGCCATGAGTGACCGCCAATCCAAAACACCAAAACTTTCCCAGTCAAAGCCGTACAGTTGGAACCTCTAGTAAATGACCACCTCCTGTAAGCAACCGCAACCACTTTTTGGGCCTGATGGTTAACGATTCTTCATTGTTTTTAAACTCTTGTAAGCGACCACTAAGTCTTGACGCATTCTCTGATCTTTATTTTTGCTGTGTGCACTATGTTACTTAGAATATACGAAGAGACAACATGGAACTACACATATCCTAACTAAGAAATTGCATGCAATAAATTATCTTCCATAAAGAAGATGTGCCTGGACCTCTTCTCGGAAGACTCACCCCCTGTGGTTCGATTCTTGTAGACAACCACCTCCCATAAGTGACCACTCAGACTTTGCATTTTGGGTGGACACTTACAGGAAGTTTGACTGTATATTAATTTGATAAGTTTACACCAGCAAAACTTCAAGTTTAAATGATGCGCATGAGTCTCATTGACACCCACCTAGAAGTGAACAAGCTTCTTACACTTATGATACTGGTGTGGTTAAAGGTTAAAATGCTTATGATCATCACAATTGACTGTCATGTGAAAGAAGTCAGATCTTAATACTTGTCTCAGCAGAATTAAACACGATGACAAACGGCTCAACAATTTTTTTTTTAATCAACAAAGGCTGTAGATAGATGAAACTATATTAGAAATGATTGTTTTTAGAAATAAAATATTCATATCTCACATAAATATTTAAAATTTGCAAATATGAATACTTAAACGTTATTCAATGAAAACAACCAACTTGACGTTTTTATTTATGGCGATATGATGGACATTTACTAACCAGTCCTGATTTACATGAGCTTTTCTAAATCAAAAACTACAGAAGCTCATCAGATCATCTACTTAAAACAAAGTCGTTAAAGCTTAGAAAGAATTCGCAGCATGTTGGGCGTAACAAATTTTAACACCGTTTGTTTTGCTTTGTGTTTGCCAAATAGGTTCAGGTATATCGGTTTTTTTTATACCCTAAAGCTTAATTAAGAACGAGAGAACAAACGATCGAATAAAATTTAGCTCGAGAATACATGTTGCTAATATCATTTTCTCGCAAGCAAGTGCAAGAAATACTAGAATAATCTAATATTTCCGTATTTATCATGATCATGACAACGCCCAAGTTCATGATAAAATGCAGGCGACTTACTGTGTATGAGCGACTAAAAAGCACGATCAACTGCCAAAGGCTATTTCTAGTGAAAATTCGTGTACTCGCGCGCTTGGTCTGGCAATCCTGTGTATAATCAAGAACTACTGACTCGAAAACAAACAGATCATTACGGCGCCATTTCGATCATGCCGAAGCAAGATATACGCGTATTCCAAGACGCGAAAAAATTTACATAAGACTATTGTATTAAAAGGTTAATACTTCTGCTTACCTGCTACCGTATTGGGATCCAAGTTAAGAACATACTCTTCCGTTGGTGAAAGTTTTGCAGGCTGGCTTACTATCACCGTTGCTTCTTTCGACGCCATTGGTGGTTCTCCGCCGTTTTTCCCGGGCAGCGATTCGTACTGCTGTTTGTGGGCCATGTTAGGCTAATGATTAATTCAATAGGTGCGGCCTATTCTTAATAAGTAACTTGTCACGCTAGCTTGAGTTCTGGACAGTTCGGGAACCTCTTTATGGTTCACTTGAACGTAAATAAACTAGTTTGCTTGGCTTCAGTAAAGTTCGCGGCTGCGTTTTGCACACCTGGGGCTCCATTTAAAAGTGAAAAACTTCCAAATACAGAGCTAGTGTAAGTTTAGATTGTGTTTGATTGTGATTTTACACAGCGACGATCGCAAAATGTCACAGTTTGGCAAAAAAGCACAATGGAAGAAACGCAGGCGCAAAATATTGACGGAAAAATTTCCCCCAAGGGACCGTGGAGGTGTAAAAATACTGTATTACTAGAAATACGTATCTGGCCGAAAAAAAAAAACGAAGAGCAATAATTTTTTTCTTCCCTGGCAACCTCCCCGCCAACATGTGAAGAAAAGAGGAAAGGACAAAGTAGAGGCATAACCTCCCACGTTCTAGCTTGGGGGACGACCGGCACAGTTGACTTTTGAGGCGGGGGTGGGGGGATCGGTGATTTCAGGAAAAAAATTATCCCGCCGGACTGAAATTCATGGCGTATAATACTGGAAAAATTCTTACACCGTTGTATATCAGCAGATAAAAGATAAAATTATATCGCCAGAGGTTTGACAAAAAAAATTCGTACCCAAACCAAATCACCCATACTCCCCACCCCACTCAAAAGTCAAATGGTCGGCTTCGAAAAAACGAGTGCCTGAAAAGGACTCTTTTCGCGCTTTTCTTCCTGTTTTTCTCATCCTCTTTTTGCCCCTGCCACGCATAGCCAACGTGGCAGGCGCATAAAGGGAACGGGACCCGAGAGGGAGAAAAGGGCGAAATCGAGAAGGGAAAAACATTCTGTAACTTCCCGATATTCCTATTCGTCGCAGTATAAGGGAAGGTACGTTTTTATTGGGGGGCGGGGGTGGGCCGGGGTATTTTAGAATTTTTTTGCGAAAAAAGTCGTGGCCCTCCCACTTCCTAAAATGGATTAATGCAATGACCCTTCAGAAATACCCAAACAAAAGCATCTGACCCTGCCCCCCTACTACCTATCCAAGACAAAAATAACCGGAAGTGAAAATAACAAACTGGAAGTGTTACTCATATAGCAGGGTTCATCTGCGCACAAAGTAGTTAATTGTGTGGCGTGTGATTGTATAGTGAAAACTTGAAAATGGGCAAGGATGTACGAGGAATAGAAAGAAGGAAATGTGCTTGTGGTGAACGCGAGTATTATTTTAATGAGGTCAGATGGAGCAACTTGTGGCTATTGTGGCTGTTTGCCGACTCGCCATTCTAAAAAGAATGCCCGCTATTCCTCTTCCTCCTGTTGGCGGCACATCGGCTGCGGGAACAAGTGAAAGCACAAGTCCAGAGAAGTGGAAAGATGAAGACCTAGGGTAGCTTAAGTGAAGAATCCTCACCGGAAAATGATTTTATACCGGAACCCCGCGAGGAAACATCAAAATATGATGTTAGTTTTTAAGATAGTTTTTTGATATATAAATTTTTCGACACCTGTAAATAATTTAGATTAATCTTGACTGGAGAGGCGACATGGAGCAATACAATAATAAAAAATAATTAAGTAGCTGTGCTTTGACCTTGTGCTTGGGCACTGGCACTGTGCCCAAATTTAGGCATGGGTTCTTTAAAAAGCAGCGTGTTCACATTGGTATCCAGCGAGTATTATACTCTGATAACGTGCTCTGACACTAAGTGTGAATGCTTCCAAAGACCCAAGGCAGGTCTTATCTGTGAACAATTAAGATCCAGCAGGTAGATAATGCAAATTTTCTTGTTTTACTTGCTAGTGTTTGCTTAAAATCCCGTGCCACTTAAAGAATTATACATATAGTTAAGACGTGCATGTATCTCTGGAAAAGGAGTAAAACAGTTTATTACATAAGATCCCAAAAAATGTACACTGTAAAGGTGACAATGACAACTGCCTTCCGTCAAATGAGATCAAAAATACACAATGTATAGGGACAGAAATAATATTATTGTGGCGTCCCTTGCTGTCCATGAATGCACCTCTTTTCTCCTAACCACTCCTTAGGGTTGAGGTGGCAGAGAAGTCAACACTGATGTTTACATCAAATCAATAACAGTTTTTTGCTAAAAATAATGATAAAGAGCACAGGAATCTTATGTAAACAGCCATGTTTTTCAGTTTACTGTTATATGCATCCAGTCTCTGGTTGAGTTGACTCTCTCAGGGGTGATACTATTTTGCCTGTGACTTCGCGTTTTCCTTTGTCTATTTTAGTTAAAATGTTAGTGACTAACCCAATATTTTGGTGTCCAAGCTTTATAATCGACTTAATCACATACATGTATGGTACAAAAAACGAACAGGCAAAATATGTCCACATGAAAATACAATAACATTATTGCTTGAGTGTTTACATACCAAACCTTAGGATTTTAATGCTGAATCTTTGGGAAAAATGCAATAAACTAATGAATAGGAGAGTGCTTTGCACTGATCACTGTTCTGGACCTGTTTTCACAAAACAAAATCATAAGTGGTTCAGAGGTAATAAACAGGCCAGGATTATGACACTATACACTTGTACACCTTCCAGTGAAAACCTTTGACTAATGGTAGGGGAAGTATCCAACCTACCCAGTAAGCATTCCTTATGTTATCTTGGCAGCTGTTGAGGAAGGTGATATAAAAACTTTTCAAAGCCTGTTATCAGAAGATTTTGCAGCTTAGCAAATCCTTGATTGCTGTGTGCCATTCTATCTACACACAATGCACGTGAAATACTTGGTATCTTTTCTGTTGCCAACTTTTCAGTCCATTGCTGACACTTGTAGAAACCAAAACCTGATAATAACAATCCCTGTAGGTGTTACCGAGTCTTCTTAATTTAGAATACTATTCCTAACATAACTGGCTTTCATGTATACTCTTATGTGACAGAAAGGGGCAGTGCAAGTTTTAAAATCAATATCTCCCACAGTGCTTCAACAGGTAATATCCAGTCACATATTATTTTTTTTCAACCACTAGCCACAGACATTATCAGTCATTAATTTTTAAAGAGGTGACTCCAAGTGACAACTACAGGAATGAGAAAATAGTTCATTTTAGACCAAGAGACAGTTCTAAACAATAGTCTCGCAACAGACCACTTCAAAGGCTTGAATAAGAAAGACTTTTCCACCATGGTGGACATCTCTATACGTAAAGAGCACACCCTCTAAAACTGGGTTTAGTAGCGAAATGTTTGCTGGAAGAGTTAATGTCAGTCATCATCATCATCATCCTCATCTTCGTCTTCCCGCTTTCTCTTTTCGCCTCTTCTGTCGGCTTCTGGTGTCTCGTCTTCCTCATCTTCTTCCTCATCCTCTTCTTCATCATCTTCTTCATCAGGATTGAAATCTTCGCCTTCTTCTTCATCCTGGACAAAACAAAAAAGTTCTGGTTTACAAAAAGGCATCCCTTCAATACTAGGAACCTGTCACTGCAAACACCTTTTATTCATACCACACAAACCTCTCAAAAGCAGGCAACTTAACTTTTAAAGAGAGAATGTTTTATTGTATGGTCAACTCTGCAGCCCTTGCATCAAATTGACATAAGATGGCTTGTTTAACTGAAACTGCAACCAAATTAACTCACTAACCCGAGCAAATCAAAGCTTGCACTAACAAACAAACCTTTTGTGATAATTTACATTAATTCAGTGACATTGTGACCAAAGACATTGAAACTTCATTCAGAACTTGAAACAACCCCATGATTATTGATATGATATGCCTGGGGCATCATCAGTAGTCAAAGACCCCTAAACACCCTTCCCAAGTTTAATTATAAATCTGTTATAAGATTAAGTATGTACCTCCAAATTTTCTTTTTGCAAATAATCTAGACCTGGTTCATCCTCTTCTTCCCCTTCATCTTCTTCCTCCTCCTCTTCATCATCTTCCTCACCTTCTGATTTAAAAACAAAGAGAAATCACAAAATACTATTGCTAAAAAAGTATAAATTACCAGGTTCAGTGTTCTCTTCAGACTTTTTCTAGACTTTTTTCCAAAACAATGATTTCTTTTTCCAGACTCAAGGTTATCAATTAGTTCATCAATAGACACCTTTAAAATGCAGGGAAAAGCTATTTTTCATGATGTGCTGCAAACATATGGGCAAGATTGAATAAGATTTGACAAAAACAAAAAAAATTATAAAGCACTCGCTGTGCAGCTTTGAAAAAAAAAAGACTCAAGACTCTTTTACCATTTTCCCCGACTTTATCTCCATTTTGCTGACTTTCTCAGGCCTGGAAAATGGCTGGGCAATGCAAGACTTTTCCAAGAATTCAAGATTCTGTATGAACCCCTATCTTTAAATCAGAGCCGTGAATGCAAAGGGGGCATATGTGACAACTTGACCCAAAACAATGCTCAAAACTCACTGAAGATTCTCAAACAAGTTTATTTTACAATGCTGAACCTCACTCTTACTAATTCAAGTGAAAGATATCATTATTTCTGGGTCATTTGACAGCTCATCTGTTTGAGGGCAGTGTCCTAGCACAGCCCCCCCTTTACCACATCTTTATCAAATGCAAACACACCAAGCAGTTTTAAAAGGAATTTCCATATTACTTTTACACATTGACAAGAACATTCGTCGGTCCAACCTTACAAGACGTCATTACAAGAATATTATAATACAAATTGCCCTTTGCTGAATTATTTGATACTGATCGCTAAACTATATTTATGTTGTTGTAGAAGTAATCAGACTCTTCCAATCATAACTGCCTTTTCATCCAAGGTTAAAATTCAGTATGAAACAGAAAAGTATATATGTGTTGAAACTAATAAAATGGAGAAATTTCTTAAGAAGTGGACTCTGCCTTTGGACTCTTTACCCTAGAAACGTGTGTACTTGAAAATTTTATGTATAGTTACTTCAGCATAAACGTTTATAGTGTATTGTTCTGTCATCTATTTGTTATACATTGTAATGCAAATAAAATAATAATAGCAATACTATAATTTTAAAAAAGTACAGTCTGTAGATGATGAATTCCATTCTAAGATACTCACCTTCACCTTCACCTTCTACTCCCTCCTCATCATCACTTGACCCTTCCCCTTCATCTAAATCGTCTTCATCATCATCATCTCCTTTAATTTAACAAATTTTAAGTATAAGAACAGAGAAAACACAAGACCTTAAAGCACCTGGTGGTCTCTTGCTAAATACTGTAAAGCTTAACAGCTGAATTTCATATGCCAAGAGCTTTAGGGGCTTCCTATTATTTTTTTTCCACACAGCACAGCCTTGAAAATAATTATCTGTCATTGACCTTCTGCTTGACAGCAAGGCAACTAGAGATTGTCAAAGTAATCAGGGTACCATGGACAGTAGCAGTATTCCATCATATACTGTGCACCAGATACTAGAACAAAATGCTGATTTAGAGTAATGATTTGTAATATGGTATTTGTAATGCAGCACTAACAAGTGGTGTTGTGTAAATTAAATATAAAACAAGTGTACAGCAGGCAATATGTTTTCAATCACACATCGTTAAGTAACTGGTTAACACCATCTGAGGAAACACTCAGGTCAAGGTAAATTGTTTCTTCTTTATTTAGCTGGCTAGCAAATTAAATAGAAAAGGGCACAATACTGGCACACATAAATGCCAACATATTTTTACATTACAGTCAAGCATACACCCATAGATTCTTTTCATGACTCATTTAAATAAGTTGTTGCCAATAATATTTATTTCTTCATTCTCAGATACACAAGGAAAGTGAATTGACATGCAGGGTAATTCAAATTTATGTCAGCTCTACTTTCTTTTCTCGAAAGTGTTTAAGATTTTTCAACCTGACTGAATGAAGAGAAGTTAAGGTGTAAAATTTTGTCCTTCTAATGCATGCAGGAATGCAAATTTGAATTGGAAATCATAAACAACAACAACTTAAGGAAGAGACCTGGTGGAGCAGTTAGAGCACTGCAGGCACAGAGTTCCAGCCCTGCCCTAAACCCTAGCCGGATTTCTTCTGTTTATTCTACTATCCATAGTCCCAAGTTCATTTCCTTGATCACGCTTAAAAATGGCGAACTGACTTGCCTCCAGCTAGTTGGAATTCTTAACCTTGTGGGACAGAATGAAGACTACTGGTTCACCTGTTATTTTAAACTACTACAGGACAAATGTAAGGAACTTTTCACTTCATTATCAAGGGCCCAAAATATATAATTCCCTTAGCTCTGAAATTCAGAATGCCTCTAGTACTGCTTTGTTCAATTCCAAACTTAAAGGTCAAATGAACCAAAAAATTGAAATATTTTCTTTTCCACTCTACCTTCATCAAACACTAAAAAGAACCATCCTAAGTGAGATTTGGGTAAAGATTTTTCTTCCCAAGCCTTTATAGAAAGATAAAAGATCAAAATCCAAGCATTTCCGAAGACTTCACGAAAACGTTTCTGAAATGGCCGCGTGATAGACTGGAGACTACGTGACGTCAATGTTGGTCTTTCAGGGCGGAAAAACGTTCTGCGCAAGCTTCTGCGCATCCCTTACCCCCTGCATTTGTTTGTCTCGTTCTGTGAGAGTTCTGACTGAGACTGAATGAAATACACGAGGTGCGAACGTTTGCTCCTTGTAAAGGCTTTTTTTTCTGTTTTTGTTACTGTTGTGTTTTCGTCACTTGAAAATTACTTTGGATTCAGAACAACCAGTGTTAGAGTAAAAACAGATCATTCCGTCAGTCTGAGGTGGAATAAAACGTTTTGAACATTTCAAAAGAGGTTTGTATTTTTCTGATAATTGTGCATTCGATTTGTGAATTGATTTTGTGTCCAGTGCCTCGCCTTCTTTCACCGGGCTGAATTAAAACCCGCTTGTATTCTGTTATTAGTAGTTACGGTTATTTTTTTTACATGCCCAGATTCATTTACCTTTGCAGAACCAGTTTTATCCTTGTCTTCAGTCAAACAACCGCAATGCTAACGCATGAGAGTGAACAAACTTGTGCGCTTTTAAGCTTTTAAGTTCAAAAAACTTTCTCGGAACTATAGAAGGCCAGCAAGCTTACTCGAGAAGAAATGACTAACTCCATCATTTTTCTGTTGCTCAAGTAATAATGGTCAGAGTTTTTTTTCCTTTAATTTTTTCAGTTTTAACTACATAGTTTTGTTATCTTTTTGTACGCAAATTTTTCTTTCACTCGCTGTGAAGTAGCGGAGAACGACAACTGCTGGCACTGTGACTCCAAAACAATCGACTCTTTGCCCGTAAACAATTGCTGGAGCTGGATTTGACTGAAGCGAGCAAAACAAATCCTTATGTGCAGTTTTCTGTATTTTCTAATGATTCAGTTTGCTGCGCGAAACAATCAAGTTTAAAAAACTATGGTTGCTTTTAAACCGATCTTGGGGAAGATTTACTACGTAAAGATTAACTCTTTTTCTGCCCAAAAGGTCAACGCCAAAACTTCTACTTTGAGATTTTGTTTGTATTTTAGAGATCTGCGAAGCTACAAGTGTCAGATCGAGCGTTGGCTTTAAAATATCAGCTGGAGTGCGACAAAGTTCAGTGACTGCAAACACATTGTGGGGAAACTTGAATTTCTTTGGGCAGATTATTATACAAAGATATTTTGTTTTTGCGTCCACAGTGGAGCTCCGGACCTTATATATCCAGGAACTTCCTTACATGAACACATTTTGTGAATACATCTCGAAAAAAATCGGACTTACGCACGCACATTTCCAGTACAACACTATGATGTATTCTTCGAGAAAATTAAATAATAAGAAGGTCATAACCACAGCCTGCAACTTTTGAAGACAAATTGCCTGTTCTTTTCAGGTTTATGGCCGCACAAACCACTTCTGCGCCAAGTCGACTCGAAAAACTCTGTTTTGAATTTCCCGCTTTTTTTCACCTGACCAACATTGACGTCACAAGCTGTTTATTCCGACAATTTTTCCGACCACTCTACGAAGATAAGGGCCAAAAAATAGCAATTTTTAATTGCCAATATCTCAGTGATACGTGCTTCAATTGAGCTGAAACTTCATAGTATGTTTATTTGGTTCATATTAAACACATTTCACTAGAATTGATTTGAAATAAAAAAGGTCGAAATTTTGGTTCATTTGACCTTTAAGTCATTTTTTCTTGGAATAAGCACACTTTAGCTCTCCTAATGCTTGTGTGTAGTTTTTCACTTCTTTCACTTTTTTTTTGTTTCTTCTTAAATTATTTTTTCTCACCTTTTCTTTCTCGTTTTTGCACTCACACGTTCAGCCTTTTCTATTTTTATCCTATTTAATGATTACTTTCTAGGTTCCAAACAAATTGTGCGTACTTAAAATAAAATTGCCGATGTCAGTATTGTAATATTATTAATTAAATAACATAATTTTAAAGGTGGTCCTATCAACAAGCCTTATTGGCTTCTAAAGGGCTCCCTTACCTCATCTTTATTAAAATTTTACATGTATATTTTGTGTGTATGGCAAAATGATAAGAAAACAATAAACAATAGGGACCATACTTGAATTGGCTTGACTGTAAATATTTTAGAATTTAACTGTAAAAATGTTTCACCTTCGCCCTCTTCATCTTCTTCGTCTTCCTCCCCCTCATCATCATCATCATCATCACCCTCCTCGTCTGTTGAAAATAAACAAAATAACTCAGCCACAATACAGATAATAATAGCATTTAACCAATCTGGGATGTCCAGTAATGTGGTAGTTTACTAGTTTGCAAGGCTGCTGTGAGACCTAGCCCAGCAACAAAAGAAATTTCATGAGCTGTAAGTATTGGTCCCTGCAAGCAAAGTTTGCCAAACTAGCAAAAGATTGTTTACCCTAACCTAACATTCCTTTCAAAACATCCTCCTACAGCACGAAAAAAGATGCCATCTGATGAGCAAGTGCTGCATGATAAGTTTAATTGACACACATTACAGATGTGTACGTTGGGTTGGAAAGGTGGAATTGAAATAATCCAGGCATTCATTTGAAGTCATAATTCAAGTATCATAAAAAGATTACATAAACTTTGTTCAAAATCCAGCGACTCGAGACCTTAAAATGTGATAGATGCTAAACTGCAGTTTTGACAAAGGCTGGGTCCATTTAGACAACTTGCCGCATTAAACTGAGAAAATTTGGCACACAAGACAAACGGATGGAATAAAATTTTTCTTTTACCAACAGACTACTCCCAACTATAACGGATCAAATTCGATAGAGATTTACCGTCCCTATACTTAGTTTTATTAGGTGTATTTTTTGCATCATTTACAGAAAAGAGCATTATGTATAAGCACATTACTCCAATGCCAAAATTTTCAACATAAGCATTTCGTGACTGTTAATTTTAAGCCATGAAGTATATCCCCTACGAACTAAAAAACTTAAAACCGACGGCTTTACAATCACCCATTCTGACAAGACTGAACAGAAGAGAATAAACATTCTAATGTATCTAAACAGGAATTGCTTGAACATTTCACAGTGAGAAATTTTTGCTTCAAGAAACAACAAACAACAATTAAATAATCACCATTTAACGGCTGTAGGTTCTGTCAAACAAAAAGGGAAGGAATCTTCCACTGAAGTGAATAGTAAATGAACTTAATCTCACCATGTAAAAATCTACATAAGCTGGTTCTGGCTATACAAACGTGGAATATGATCTTATTTCGAAATCTAACTAGAAATACTCGCTATTAAAATATTGATGTCTTTACTTTCTAGGACGTCCGTCAGTTAAAATCAATGGATCCACGAACTGAAACTTTGCAGCGACAAAACCAAACTTAAAATATTCTCGAACTTCTAAATGCGCGGGAATTTCATTTTGGAGCGTGGCGTCCGCACAAAAGCCATTTTAGAATTCTATTTTCTATCAGGGCAAAATATCGCATAAAAATTCTCTCCTGCCACAATAAATGTGAAAACTCACGAAGGAGCACACCTTTCTCTTCGATAACACTTCACAGCAATCACTCCATTAGGTGGCAACAAACTTTTTTCACTCAATTCTTCTTTATCGTGAACTCGCATATTTTAAATCAAACAGCGCACCGCGCCAAACACTATCCCAAACGCTTCTCAGGCAACGAACATAATTCAAATTGTAACCACTGAGGAAACGAAAGCGAACTTTCGCTTTGCCTCTTTGGTATTTCATGAAATCAAGTACATCAAGACAAAAAGCTGTACCTTCTTCGCCATCCTCCTCACCCGAGGAATCCGTTTCGTCAGCTTCATTCCCGTATCTAATGGCGAACGAGAACAAAAATTACTTCAACTCCGCATGACGGGTTCAAAACCAGGTATCAACAGAAAGAGCAGGACGAGAGCGCAAATACGGATGTCATTTACGCTTTCCTCCTTCAATTTCCTCGCTTACCTATCATAGCCGTCAAGATACTTCAAGGATGGTATCATCTTGAATATTTCGGCTCTGTAACCTTCTATCGTCGTTACCTCACAGTTTAGCAAATCCAAACTTTTTAAATTTTGCAGTTTTGACTGTAAAAGAAACACAGTACGTGTAAGAGCTGACTGAAATAACTGGACTCCGAAAATACAAAACAAGCGCTTCGCAGACAAAATTTTTGCTTTAATAGTATTAACGCTTCCACACAAGTTAGCCCATATAAGCTTATAACAAACAACAAGTTGAAATTTGTACCTACCAAGGGTTCTAGAGTTTCGAGATCTTTTATTCTGTTATTGCTAAGGCTCAAATTTGTTAATTTAGGTGATCCCTGAAGAGACTGTAGTCCTGACATGATCCTATTTTCGCCAAGTTCCAGCTGAAAACAAAGATATCGAAATAACATAATCTACGCGGCTACAGGCATACACGACCAGAGAAGCTGGGGTGCACCTCTATGAGAGTGTCGTGGAGCAGAAGTCATGAGGAAGGCTCAACAAAATCTTACTCACCCGCCTTAGATTTGGTAAATTGGGAAAACTTTTCAAATTTGTCAGCCCAACTTTGATCAGCGACAAGACCTCCAAGTTAAGAAATTCATCTGTTAGGCCAACGACCGTGGTAGAATAACAATTGTCCAAGATGAGCTCTCGAATCTGCAAAACAACAAAAGCACATGGAGAAGAGTCGAATCACAAATTTCGTCGATTTACTGCGCTTTCATCACGTAAATCGAAACAAAAGCTTCAATTCTGGTTAGATGGCATCTTTAGACCTCGAAAGGGACGGGGGGTTACCTCCTCTGGCTTTCGCTTGCCGCATTCTAAAGCGATCCGTTTCTCCATCCTTGTGTTGTTCGTTGTAGCTGGAGTCGCATTATCCATTGCACCTTTCTCCAGAATCGAGAGATTTGCTTTGCCTCGCGCCACGGCAGCATTGCCCCCAGAGGGGGTACAATACATTGACGCTGGAGGCCCCGGCAAAATCAACGAATACTCTGTTGCGACCCACACGCGGTTGGGAGAAACAAAGGATTGATCGAGAGCAAAAAACGATCATAAACACAAAAAAACGTCCAAATATGCAGCAACAACATTGTAAAATAATTTTTTGGGAAGTGAGACTTAAAAACCCTCGAATAAATACCTGCGGAAACGATATCTCGAAATACAGTACTCAGTTCAAAACAAGACATCAAAGACAACACAAAAAGAATCTACAAGTATTTACTGAACAACCGAAAACAGGAAATAAACTTTAACGGCAACTTATGGGAAGATAAGAAAGTATTTACGCTCAAAATGTATAAAAACATTGATAAAATTTACAAGAGAGCGCGCTACTGAACATCTGAATTACTGAAATAAAATTCTCCCTACTTACCACACTACGTCATGCTTCCTCAAAGTCTGAATCACGTGACCAAAACAGCCATCTTGGTCGCCTGGAAAAGCAAAATTTTTGACAATTTTGCCTTCATATTACAAAAATAGTCGAGAATATCGTAAAATTCTGTTACAGGAATACAGAAAAATACACACCAGGGCTATGGCCTTTATATTTCCGTCTGCAAATCGACGAAAGGGTGTAGATTGCACACTCGCCATTGTTTGCCCTCGGTACAAGCCTTCGCGACACGCAATTTGCGAATTTTTCCACCATCCTCGATAATTGCGGCAGAAACGCATTTCCAGCAGAAGGCTAAACATTCCTATACGAGAAAAATGATTGTATCCGGTTTTCTAAGGTGAAAACTACACTCTGGGCGTGTCTACAGAATTTTCCTTCAACAATGTTCGCTCTATTTCTAAAGCCCATCACAGCGCTTGCTGTTTTAGCGAACATTGCAGCAATACATAGAACCCCCTCCAACGATATCCCATAATTTCCCAGCGATTCTTGGCTTTGTCGCCGGTTGAAAGATTTTCTCAGGCTCGCAGAAGGGTGAAATTTCGATTAGTTTTAAACAGCCTATGAAATAAAACAGAGGCGCAATGTATCATCAAAACTGTTAAATTTACATGCGAACCTTTTGGAGGAATAATTGCGTTTACTATTCATTCAGTAAACAGCGATTCAACTTATAGCCTTTTGTTGCGTTTATCACATGTTTTTCGAAAAGAAATGCTCTTAAAATCAGTGTTTGAAAACGAGGCTGAAAATTGGAATTTTGTAGCTTTGTTGTTTAAGTCGGTTTTAATCGGTGAAAGTGTCTTGAAGCCGAGTGAATCGCCTTATTTTTTGATATTATTCATTTCAGCTTTAAAAAATGAATAAATAAACAGAAAAAAAGTGATAAAAATTGCCGAGGTTGTATACGTTTCAGGCTAGAAGGTTGCCTATTTTCCTCGCGAAAACGCTTGATACACACTTTGGTGAAATGCTTCGTTCCCAATTCAGTATCGCGTACAGGAAAAAGCACAAAAATAGCTGGTTTCAGGTAATCCTTTGCCCAACAGCGGCGGGGCTAAAATACAGGTCACAATTCCACAGGTCAGAGTACAGGTCACTATGGTACAGATAAATGAACAGCATAAAAAGTGCCTCCTAACCCTAATATCTTGACAAAATGCGCTATTAGATCGAGGGGAATATCTGTGGTTTCGTAATTTATCGATGGAGCAGTGACCCCTGGAATCATGTTGACCTGTACGCCAACCAAACCTTGTACAGAGTGCGACAAGGATAATGAGATACGTTTGTTTGATTTAATTTTAGGAACAAAAAGGCTGATGAAATAGACCACACCCTTGGGTCCCCTCTCTCTGATAAAATTTATCATTTTTAAACTACAGATTTAATAGTGTACTAAATGGGGTTACGTTAGGCTTATAGAGAAATCTCACTGATACGTTTTCCTCCAAAGGGGACCTCAAAGGGGTCCCACCCTTATAATCGCAACCCCACTGTGTGCAACTGAACTAGTACCAAAGGACATAAGGACAACTACATGATCGAGCTTATAACGTTTTTAACTAAACCGAAAAAAATACACTGTCGTTTGCGTTTTTCACGCAAGTACGAATTGAGGTCATTCGATTTTTTAAGTATCCGGCTTACTGTAGATGGGACCGCCACTTTAATTACGTGCTCATACGAGTCACTCGAAAGGTTTAGCTCTTTGCAAGGTAATCGATATTGCCTTCATTTCGTATTCGAGTTGATAATTAAAACAATACTTAAGGCAAGATGAAACAGTTTTATAAGTTGGCTCCCAATTAGTCCTCACTGTTAGCCGTAACTAGCGGAGGGGGGGGCAGCTACCCCCCCTGGACCTGTTGAGCCAGGCAAATCAAGTCTGTTTATGGATTTGTTTTCTTTAGGCTCAGTTATTATGATTATAGTGACTTGCAGTTGTTTGTCATTTATATTCGAGGTCGATTTTTCGGAGACATATCTCGTGACAAGTGCTAAAAATAGCGTTTCAGAGCCTCCAAATTGGAAAATTTCACGCGATTTCGAAAGCACTTTCATCATGTTTTAAGAAAGTGTTGGTCTAACCACTGATTCTTTGCGCGACTTTTGGAGGGATGAGTAACGCGTACAGCCCCCGATCTTCTCTCGTACTCACCACGAAATCGCTTAAATGGCCTCTTGGTGGGAATTGACGCGCTACATCCCGCTCTCGAACCGCGCTCTACAAACGGAGCTAACACACGGTCAAAACACAAAACTAAGTTCACCCTATTTTAACCATCACTTGCCCATCCCTACCACCTGTATTTCATTTCAGTTAATGTACTAATTTGAACATTCTTTCTTTTCAGTTCAATAATTCTTTAATTATTTCTTATTATTGAAATTGCTTACAACTGCGAGTCATAATCCCTCTTATTCGACAATCTGCGTCAAAATTGTACAATGGGAAAATAATATCAAGAAAGTTTCATTTAAGTGGACAGATCAGAGGCAGATCCAGGATTTTTCGTAGGACAGGGTGCACTACTAAGGAATGGCGTAATTGACTGGGGACGTAAACAAATTTTAATAGCGAATACGAGGAAGAAGGCTTTCGACTAGGCAATAAACATAATGTGAACTGCTGAGAATACATATCAAATGATAAAGCAGATTTTGTATAACCGTGAAGCAGACTGCACAGTGCTAATTAGAAAGCCGCAGGTCATTTCAGGGGGGTGCGCACCCCCTGCACCCTCCCCCTAGATCCGCCCTTGCAGATCAAGATCAAGATCAAGATTTCAACAAGAGGCATGTTAGAACTAGAAAACACGTCCTCAAGCAGAGTGACTTCGGGGAATGAGGGTGGATTTCCATTTTTTGCCGTAATTTTACGTGCGCAGGAAGTATAAGGTAGCAGCACGTTAACGTTTAATTTCACAGCATCTCACCCAACTTTTTTGTTTACGCGCGGCCCTCCTTTTGCCCCCACTTTATTAATGTAAACCCTCCACTCCCTCTTCCAACATTCCCCAGCTAGCATGCATGGAAAACAGGTCGTGCCGAGTCAACAAACACGGCGCGCGGGTGCGTAAGCACGTAAATTTTAGGCGTGTAAATAAAATGGAGGCAATGTATGGAAGGTCGCGCCTAACCGTAAAAGTTGAACCTCGCTCCTCGCTTAACTTTTACGTTTACGCGCGTAAAATTTACGTGCGTAAGTACGTAAAATTACCCGACTGTGGAAATCCACCTCAACCGACTAGGGCAATAAAGCAGATTTATTACTGAGCGGCAAATTGACTACCGGAGGTCGCGTTCAGTTCTAGCCGCGCGCTTTAGCGTCCTCATTTGGGACTGCGTTGTCTTGACTTGATCTGCCTAATTTTCATAGCTATCAAGCAAGGCCAAGACTGCGCAGTCTTTTATTTTTCTTTTGAGTCACAGAAGATCAAAAGCACGCGTGAGTTGCATAATTTTACTTTCTCGCTTGCCGCACGTGGCGCAGAGGAAAGAGGCAGGCGCGGTCTAAGCAATCCCCAGCTCTTTGTCAAGGACAAAAGGTGAGTAACGAAGTGAGGGCCAAGAGGACGATCGCTAGACTCGTCTCTCGTCCGAGAGCTCTCGCTTCCGAAATCGTCTGTTTCCTGGGAGGCTAAAGCCAAACAAATGGCGGCAACTGTCAAGTGACAAATCTCGTGTTCCGGGTGGTTTGGACACAAACTCATTTTATTAAACAATGATTTAATCTATCTGCCACGTTTTAACTCGGATATGTACAATTCTATTCTATCGCACTTTACTTCTCGCGCGAACATTCTAATACACAAATGACCCTAAGATTATTTTGGGGCCAAACTCACTTTCAGTTTTCCGTCGTTTTCGAACGAATTGTAGTAAACATAGCCTGTTCTAGGTGTACAGATTGTGGGGACGGCGCAAAGAGATGCGAGAAGAGCACACAGCAAGGGGAGGGGAGGGGTGAGGCCCGTGAGGGCGAAGGAACTCCTCACCCCCTCTGCCTCTCCTTACTTTTTTTCCCGCTCTTTGACTTCGTGCCGCACTGCACTGTTTAACCGCCTGTAACAGGCTAAGTGAAACAACACGATCCGTTAAGCGGGGTAGCAGTGATAAGAGAGAAATAATCTCAACACACACAACAACAACAACAACAAATTGTTTCCCATTTTCGGTCATTTTGCTATGTTTTAATCTTTCTGCTGCAGAAAATTTACAATAAAAAGTCCGTCAGCCTAGATGAGTAGCGACTTCACTGGGGCCTTAAAAACCAGTACAACATTTATCACAACAGAAAAGTTATAAAAGTACAGGATTTACATACATATAGTAATCTAACTGCGTTACGGTCCACAAAAAGCACATGCAAACGTTAACAGAAAGGCTACCTATAGAGCTGACTTAATCATGAACGAATAAAAAATTTATTGCAATTGTTTGCCAGATATTCTGGGTCCATAACAATAATAATTTATCTATTATTTCCATTTCTACTACAGTTCAAGAGTGGTCAGCCACAAAGGGGAGGGGAAACGAAGGAGGTGAAAGGACATGAAATTTTCCCTGTCATACTGAAGGTAAAGAAATTAACGAAGCCATTTCATCCTCAGTGACGGATCCAGAACTTTAGACAAGGGGAGGGGGAAGGGAGGGAGGGGGGGGTCTCCAAATTTTTTTTTTCGGCCCGTCAGGCCTCACTTTGGTCTAAAAATAGGGGGGGAGGGCTGGGTTCCCTGGGCCCCTCTCCTAGACCCGCCACTGATCCTTTTCACTATGCCACTGTTTAAGATCCTGTTTAAGGTACTGTGACTGAAGGACCCAACTTCTCCCGACTAAAAGACAGACTAAAAGACAGCATCTTTCTGATGGGCCTGAGAGAAGCAAATTTTTGGCCAAGAAATTTGTGAAGACAGCGAAAGGCTTATTTTCTACTACTGATAGAGAAAGGGCCATGCCAATGAGGCAATAGCTCTTATGGTAACAAGGGAGCTACACAAAGCCAACACCAAACTATCCGTGAAGAAGTGGGTCCTTCCTGTCGCTGCTAGTTTGACTGCGACCTCCCAGGCAAACGTTCTCAGGGCTTCGTCACAAGTTTGTTGGGGAGATTGCGTGATGAGCCAAAAAGAATGTCTGCATGGGAGGTTAGTTAGAATACATCCCCAAAGGAACAAGCTGACAGCATAAAGTCGTATAAATCCCATCGGGACAGCAGAAGGGTAAATGACCCCATAACATCTTATAGCAAAGGGCTAAGCAGGATTCCGTGAGTTGATCTAAGGCAGTAACTACATAAAAAATGAAATTTTTAATGTCCACTCCCACATGCCTCCATTAACATCTCGTTATGTCTCTGTTACCTTTGATGTGATACCTGTACCCTCTGGCCAACTGAAATCCTGCACAAGTAGCTATGTGCCACAAGAGAGGTCACAACAGAAACTCAATAGCAGATTTTCCAACAAGCCCCACCACATAATTTCTCCTAACAACATTACTTCTTAATCAAACTCATATGTTTAGAGAATATAGGAAATGATCACCAAAAAGATGCAAAGCACCATCATAAATGTATGAACAGTGTGGAGAGAATGCATGTTGACTTCCAGTGGTCCCTCCATACCCTACGTACTACCAGGCGAGTAAGAACTAGGTTCAATTACCAGCCGCTGTTTGGGAAATGAGCCCACGCCCCTCCCCTGAACAGTAGGCTAATTTAGCAACAGAGCGGGAATGTCAGTTGACGATGGCACATGCAAATCAAACAACTGGCTTGACCAATGGCAGAGCGGCAAGTAGGGCCCCGGAAGTCGGGTTTAGTCAAATGACATTCCCGTTCTGTTGCCAAATCAGCCAATTCTATTCTCGGGGAGGACCCAAGAAAGCAGCGGAAGTCGAGCCTAAGTAAGAACCTACTTTTCTCAAATTGACCCACAGAGGGTCTCACATTACTAGTAATGAGCACAAATTCAGGCAATTTAGGTTGGTTCTTATTTTCTGACAAAAACATTAAATTGAAGTTAAGAGAATGTGGTGCTATTCAGGCTATTTCTTACGGAAAAAATATGCATACGAAGTAAGTATTTATGTTTAAATGACTATGATAAGAAAAATTGAAGCACTAGTCATGTAAATGTTGATGCCCTTTTTCAGAGAACACATTATTTTATACGGTTTCACAAAATAGGAACCTGTTTCAATTTTTAGGCCAAAATTTAACGGATTCTGGTGTAGAGTTGTCTAATTGGCCAATTTTAACCGAACAGTTTCTTACTTGCAGGGTAGTACTGTAGTGGAGAGAGTGAGTGAAATAAGCAAGTGTACAAAAAGTTACCACTCACAAGGAGAGGAAAATATGTGCTGTTCACTTCCCAGGGAAATTATGGGACTCTTCAAGGATTAACCCTTTAAGTGCCAATAGTGACCAAAAACAATTTTCTCCTAATAATATCCATACATTGTCAAGAGAAAAAGTTATGAGAATTAATCAAATGATCACCAAAGGGAAAACCCCTTGATCTTTTATCAAATTCTCTTGAGTAATTCTTAAGAAAATCTATGGAGATCAGTTCGGAGAATTTGTATGTGGATATTGGGGCTTAAAGGGTGAAGAGTAAATACTAAAGCAAAATATTCAAACTTCTAAGGCTGGCAAGGGTATTGCAATGGGAGAGTCAAACGGTTACAACTGACAGGCCAAAATACAGAATTTTTAGGGGCAATGTCTTGGCAAAAGCATGACGAGTAGCGGTTTAAAGCAACATTTAGCCACTGCTTTACATTATCTTTGAAGTTGACAAAAAAATGTTCTTAGAATTTTTCAAGGTGTTTTGGATGACACTGCCCCTAAGGGTAAAAAAACTGCATTTGATGCTTCCAAAAGTTGCCCTAGCAACTGGCAAAAAAGTTGACATTATTTTATGGGGGGCACCAGCGATTAGCTGCTTTCTCAAGTTGTAAGAACAAAAGTTAAAGATGTGCTTAGAAACACAGTGCAAGTAATCTGTACTATCAGTATGACAGTGAAAGTGTTGGGACTTGGATACAAGAAATCCTAAACCTATTCTAATTAAGTAATATAAGCTTTCTATAGATTATACATGATTTACAGTGAACACTACACAGTTCAGCACATCTTTCTGAAAACAATGTGCGAGTGTATGCCGAAAACAAAACTGTAAAAATAACGATAATGCACTAAACATAACAAACAGTCCAGGCTGAAGCCAGCATACCCAGAACAGAAGAAATAACAAGAAACTACATGTCACTAGCTGCAGTAAAGATAAGTTATCAATATCATATACATTTTGTTTATGGCCAATTGAAGGCAGTCAAGTAGCTGCTGTTACTGTTATCTCTGCAAGACAGCACTGTAAATAACATTTTCAAAGCATCTCTTTGCAAAAGGAATGAAAGATAAGCAAAAGAACACAAAACATTTTTTTTCCTAAAGCCAATTAATACAAAATTTTTGCAAGACTGGATAAATGAGAATTTTGATCTCGCTTTCAGGAAATACATACTTTTTAGCTGAAAGTCGCAACAACAGGGGAGCAGGGAGCAAACTGCATAAACAAAACTAATATTTTTTTCCATTTATGACATATTCTAGCTATATCTAACACTTGGAAAATATTTCCAGTCACTTCATTTCATACTCTTAAAATACACGACATTCAACTGTGTTGAACCATACTGGAAAAAAATTCACAGTGCCGCACTTGTCTCATAACTTGAATACTAGCTATATTCGCACACAGAAACTCTTGCTCTTGGGGAATTTTGTACACAAAAGCAAGTTACTAGAATCAGTTGAAGACAAGCGATCTTAAATAAAGAAATCTCTTTCAACCACTTTTGTAATCTTCTACAGTTTCCATCCCCTAATTGAATCTCTTACAGCCTGCCTGCCATTGTTTCTTAATACAGATAATAACATCTCTGTCGGACCAACTCTATTCAAACTAGATTATACTCTTTTAAGTTTAACTGGAGTATTGTGTCCTTCACTGCCGCAAATACAAACCGGATATTTTCTGTATCTGTGGCACACGTGAAGTGAGAGTAGATTATCTTATCTGAGTCTGGATTCAGGTCAACAAACATTTTAAGGATGAACTCACGAGCTGCCTGGGCATCACACTGGGGCCCTGCAAAGAAATTTCATACAAATCATATTTAATATTTGACATTACAAAATCTCTACAAAAACTGAACACCCCGGCACACCAATGCTTAATCCTTTAGCTCCCAAGAGTGACCAACATCAATTTTCTCCCAACAACATCAGCAGATCATCGAGGGTAAAGGTGAAGAGAATTTCTAAACTGATTTTCAGAGGGAGAATACTTTGATCTTAAACCAAATTCTCTTAACTATTCTTAAAAGAAATGCGTGGAGATCAGTCTGGAGAATTTGCATGGGGATCTTGAGACTTAAAGGGTCAATACAGTCAAACCCTGTTAATATGGACACTAAAGGGGCCAGAGAATGTTCGTATTTAGAGCGTTGTGTTATTAATGTCAAAAATGTCAAAAAACACTTTTTATTAGAACAACATACTAAAGAAATAAAAGAAGAAGTCAGCATGGTCAAACTAAACATATCTAACTACCACAAAGTCATCATTCAGTTGACTAATTGCCCAGGAACACTAAAAAAGAACACTCACTTATTACTACTTAAGGAAAACCATTCTATGCATAACTAGTGCGTTGGCTGAAAACAGCCTGAAATTGACGTATACAATCATCGTATCCAGTGTTCAAACTTAACGCTCGTCCACTCGTCCAAAACGAGTTAAAATTCTGAAAATGAGTATTTTTCTTCCCCACTAGTCCTCTGGACAAGTAAAGTTATCACTCTCTGAGAAATACACGTAATTTTTTTTTGGATCATACCAATACCTTGAAACAAATGAAAGTCTGGGTTCTACTTGAAACAAAATGCACTGCAGGATACAAGATGGCGGCTTTTTGTTTCGAAGGTCCGTGTCTATTTACCTTTGGTGAATCAAAATGTGAGCCAAATTAAGTCAAAAGGGAAACAAGTGCAAGGCTCACTGTGGTCCTTCTTTGAAGGAAAGCAATCAACAGATGATAAAGAAATTAACACAGCATCTGAAACACCTGCTCTGACCAAAAAAAACACACAAGTTCCTGGAGGCATGGAAGGATAACTACAAACAGCTGAGGTTTGATGGAAAGGAAAACAAAATGTTCTGAGAGTTTTCTAGGGAATACAAAATTCCTGAATAGGAAAAACACAAAATACTCCCATCGAACCTGAGGATCGGAACGAATAATATGCAAACAGAGAGCTTGAAAGCACATGAGAACTGAGAAGTCATACTGTAAGACACTTGCTTTGGTAGCTATGTACAGCGTAAAAAAATAAATACTCCGGTTGTGTTTATTTAATTGCAGTTGCATTTATTACTTTATTTGAAAATGATAAGAGTGATCAGTAGTTTTGTCATTGGACCAGTAAATTTTAATCCCACTGGTCCTGAGGAAGACCAGACCCAAAAGTTAATTTCGGGCACTGGTATCTGGTCTACTATAGTGCTGGGAACATCGACATGTCAACTAAAGATTTTTTTACCTTCAAGAAGGAAAAGTCCATGACAACAAAGTGTCCCCATTAGTGAGGTTAACTTTCTATGAGAATCTATCCATTGGGCAAATTAGATACAGGTGCCTGTTGTCTGCATTAACAGGCAACCGCATTAAGCGCGTTGAATTTAGAGAACATGCTTAGGACTTTTCCTAAGGAAAAAGAGAACTGTCTGTAATAACAAGGTTTCTATATTAAGCGGGTGTCCGAAAAGCGATGTTCCACTTTATCAAGAGCACATTCCCCTTAAAGGAGCTGTGTCACAAAATTTATCAAAAAACTAACTGTAGGAACTGCCACCAAATTCAGTGAAATGTAATAATAACCACTCAAAATAATTATTAACTGTCATAAGGAACAAAGCATGTACAAAAGAAGGCAGAGATGGCTAAACTTGACGAACATTAAAACGGATTGCAATTGTGGGTTGGCCTAACAGTTAAGTTTTAGTTCGACTTTCTCGCCTTTTCCACCATCAAGAGTAATGATTTTGTTAGCGTTTGTTTCCTTTTTTTTTCTTTCTTCTTCGTTAACGACCTTTTTCAATTAAAGCAAATTGTTGTGTTTTTGAAGTGTTCCGTGTGTATACTTATTTCATGGTGTGATTGCGTTCGAGTTTTATTACTGAATTCCACTTCAGTCGTCTAGAGTACTGCATGCAGTTGACAGTTTGAACATTACACATGAATTATGGTCAAAAAGAGAAAAGCAATTCTGCCATAACGTGTACATTTCGAGACAACATTTCTTTGTTTGTCAATTGAAAATCGTGTTTTACTTTTTGCAAGAGTTAAAAAAAGGAGTCATGACGTTAGTGGACGGCATTAACAGCAGGTCGATTCAGATGTTATTGAGGAAGTAAAGACAACTCGAAGTAATCGTCTGAAACTCAGGCTAAGGGCACACTTCAATAGGAAATACCGCTGGATCAGCTGACTAATTCTGACTCCATCATAAATGGAGCAGAGTACAGTGTAGATCACTAATCCATTTATCTGGATTTGGATTCTTTGGATTTCAAATCCAATGAATCCTTTTTGAAAAGGACTCACCAGATCAAAAATCTGGATTTGGATTTGCAAAAGGGAACACGAAATCCATTTTAAGATCTAGGTCCAATTGGATTCATCGTAAGGAACACACCTTTCATCTAATGCTTGGGGGGGGGGGGTATATTTGTTGGACAAGAAGCAGTGATTTTGTCATTTACAAGTTATTTCTTCTCTAACATTAAGTTCCACAGCCAATAAGGACGCATAGTGGCAAATGAACAAGACAGCCATGACACACAGCCCCATTAAATAAGACTGTTATCTTGCACCAGCCAAAATGAGCACCTACTATGCTCAACTTGACTGGTAAACCAAAACATAGCTTCTGAAGATATTCCCTGGAAAACACAATCTTATTACTAATAAACCTAGGGTTGTATTACCTGTTATGATCTGATGTCTGTTATAATAACTGATGCCTTTACCCAAATATTTTGGAATTTCATTCTACATATAAACCATAATTTAATAGTAGTAACCCTCTGGCCACCAGCTATCCTAAAGAAAAAGTGCCTTGGAAAACAGCAGCTTGGAAAGTGGCAATTTTTCCAAAAAAAAAATTACATAAAATGATATTAACTGAATCTTGCATGTACTGCAAACCTCGTGCAATTAAAAAATACATCACTACAAAGACAATCTTACAGCAAACAAAGGAACCAAAACAGTGATATTTATATTACTGAATATATTCTCCAAAACTATCATAATTCACAGCTTTAAATTTGTCTTTAAGGCATCGCTGCAGTATTCAAGAGAATATTTTGTTGTTTATGGTTAACAGCCATCTTCAAATGTCTTCTACAGCTATAGCAGTCATCAATTGTACTTTTGAGAAGATATTTCCTTTCATCTCTCCCAATTCATGACAAAATTTACTTTTGAACATTGCCTTTCCCCCTGGTTGTTTTTCACGGACGCAAAAAAAAAAACCGCTTTCTTTATCTTTCAGATCGTTGAACTCGAAACAGGCCACCATTTTGTTTTCAAAGCATCTGCTTTCACTTGAATGAATTAGTTTTGCCATGGATGGAAAGTAGGGCCCAGTAATTCCCTGACAAAGATAGTTGCTTCATTTCACTAGAAAACCGGCACATAATGTTACAGACACTTGCTACCCTGCTAAGAAGCTACTGCTCAACGATAAATAGAACTCACCATCAAACTCTGGGAAATATTCCACCAAATGTGAAAACATAATTTTCTCCTCCAACAAATCCTTTTTGTTTAAAAATAATATGATGGAAGAGTTCTGAAACCAGGGATACGTGATAATAGTACGAAATAATGCCTTGCTTTCCTCCATTCGATTCTAAAAAGACAACAAGAGTACAGCAAGTGATTAGTGTCTAACGACATACGAGCGAAATACAGTCAAACCCCCTGGCAAGTGACCACTCCAAATGCAAAGATTTTGTGGTCACTTACAAGAATCAAACCACCTCAGGCAAGCTATGGCATGGGTTGAAACGCTAAAAAGACCTCCCGCAGAGAATGCACAAGGATTGGTTCCACAAGGATATGATAAGACATCTCCTTAAACCATGACGTCACAAAACCTGTTTTCTCAAACAGGGCAAGGTTATTAAACTTCAGCCTAAAAATACTTGTCATCAAATTGTCAGCGAAACTGTCTGGATTGTCAATTAGCCTTGCAAGGTGGATTAAAGCATTTTTACTAAGAGTTATTAAAATCTTTTATAAGTCACGTGACCTGTTTTTCTTTATTTCGTAATCCTTGCAGCACTTAGGCATGCATGCAGGGCTATTTCATAATATCCAGGCCACGGGAGAAACACTGGTGCCTACGAATATTTGCTGCTCTTTCATTTCCTTTCCCCTGTTTTAATTTGAACACTTTGAACATTAACAATCATTTGCAGGTCACATGACTAATATTTCAACAATGAATAGGTCACATATTGTTAAGGCCACCAAGCTAAAACTGTTTGCCAAGTTTCGTAACGACTGCTCAAAACAATCCGTTTCAATTGCCACTTGGCCAAATTATGCAAATTATGAGGTGACCCATGCCTTAACATGTATAAGACTTGGTGTCTTTTTTCATGAAGAGGTCCTGACTTATCTCCTTCTTGGAGGAGAATTTACTGCATGTAATTTCTAAGTTATCTGTAGTTCTAGGTTGTCTCTAAATGTTCCTTTTACATTCCGCATACCCAGAGGTGGTCATTTACAATAGGTTTCAGCTAGGGCACTATGACTGGTGTTTTGTTAGCCTGCATGGCAGGCATTCAGAAGGAAAGGGGGAGGGAATTTGGGCACAAGATGGTGTGAGAGGGAGAAAGGAGGGGTGGAACACCTGCAAGGACACCACTATTTTCACCATCCCGCTGACTAATTATGTACGCAATACAACACAACTGTGTGCAAGTCTAGCTGTCAAATAAATCTGGGAGCAATGCATGTTCTCTATTCGTATTTCTCGCACAATTTTTCTTTCGTTTTCTTAAAACAAGAACTCAAAGAAAAGAAGAAGGTCCAACCGCGGTTGTCCAATGAAGGAAGAAAAAAGGCAATAACACGTGCTTAGTTTGTGAAACTAGTTTAAATTTCAGCAATAGAAAATGCAGCAATGATTTTTTCTAGCTGTTGCTGAAGGAATTGGGCTGGAAAACTAGGCTTTTTACAGCTTATATGCAATGTTTGTCCGACAAAAATTAAAACACTTTGTTAACTCTTTGAAATCCTATTGGAACACCTTGGACCCAGAGGAGCATACAAAAGAATGCTGCTAGTGTGGAAGAGCAGAACTTCCAGGATCTGAGAGAGAGCTGGAATAAAAGTAAGTTCCTACAGGTTTTATTACCAGCAAGAATAAGTCCTAAAACTGAAAATCACTGAGGATTAGATCGCTTCATTGTCAACAATCTGGTGGTTGTTAATGCCGGTCAAACAGCAGATAACTAGTACACAGGCAGCATGATTTCCTTTTCTTTGAGCCGTTAAAACAACAAGTGAGTAAAACTCATCTGCCAACAGGTCTTTTGTTTCATGCAGTTGTTTAACTGCTTCTTTCTACTCTCCTTTCAAGCTAAACTTAATGTCCTCCGTACCTCCAGTTTCTATTTCTCACAACAAATTGCGGTAAGACAAACTTGAAATCTCTTCCCACTTCACTCGCCACATCTAATGAGTACTGAATGACGTTGATTTCAGCCAATCACATTAAGGTATTAACGCTCTGATTGACATGTTTAGAACTCTGACCAATCATGATTTTTACAAGTCTCTGGTAGACGTGAAATATGAAGAAGACAACACTGTCCTTTCAAGTGTTCCCTACCCTCCCCCTTGCGCACCTTTTACACTTCTCGCACAGCTGGAATCCACTCCCCCTTTCCTTTTAAACACCCACCATGTAGACAAGTGATTAAAAGGGCTGGTTGCTAATGAGGGGTGGTTGGACTGAATGCAAATTAGAGTAATTGGCATGTAAAAACAGGGCTCGAAATTGCGACTGATACAGTCGTCAATGTGGCTACCATTTGCTCCTTGGCAACTAAAAATTCTGGTTTAGTCACCACTTTGGCGACCAGATTTCTCTACGATTTAGATTTAAAGTAAAAACAAACTTTTCATCTTATCTTGCTTTGCTTTCGTGATAAAAATGTGCCACATTGCATAAACAAAGCCAGTTTACCTCCAAATTTATACTGACTTCTGTCCGTGATATTCTCAAACAATCAAGTCTGACGGATCATGCCATACTATGAGCTGCGTCATTTACATTGTACAAACTGGCAACTAAAAAATTTGCATCTGGCCACTATTTCTCCACTTGGAATTTTTTTAATTTCAAGCCCTGAAAAAAACTACTCCCTTTAACTAGAAATGGAAGAGGCATGCAGAAATATGGCGGGCATGCAGTTGCACGAGTCCTGGTCCTGCAAACTGTGTCCTAATTTGTCTGTTTGTCTCGATATTCCAGCCACAAAAACTTTATACTGGTGACCATCTAATAACAATCACGGTCACCAAAAGGCGACTTTGAAAAAAGTAATAGCATTTTTCTCAGACTCAATTTTCACACTATCAGTTGGTTAATAAAAGCTCAATCTAACGATGCCAAAAATACTACAGTAAAGGCAGACTATCGATGCAGTAAAATTGATAACCCTACACTGTTCTATTTATTCTTGTTTGCAGGCAACACAACTAGCACATTTCCTCATTCATTTTATAATTCAGCTGTATCAGCATAACATTAAACAAAGCACAGGCATATCCTTTACACCCTCAACATTTTAGGACAGTTGTTGATATTACCCTAGTGAGGACAGTCGAGTGCATAACACCATAAAATTGCAAAAAAAATGCTTACCTCATTGGCAGATTCAACGAGAACCTGATCATATTCACTGAGCGCAACAAGGAACATAATCGACGTCACATTTTCGAAGCAGTGAATCCATTTTCTCCTTTCTGATCTTTGCCCTCCTACATCAACCATTCTGCAAAGCATTTAACATAGTTATGTACTTGCAAATTTCATTTTCAATTCCTTTCAGCTGAATGTGATCCTAAGAGTAAAGACTGGGGGTACAGGAGAGCTCAAATTTCCAAAGTACATGTGGTTATCACTTTTAAGGAAGGAAACTTTATTAATATTAAAACAGGTCAAAAGATTACAAAAGAGTTCCAAGCTATTACTTCAGTCTTTCATCACAAGATAAAAAGAACTTTAAAATGTCAAGGGTTACTTGGGAAATAATGAGGTAGTTTGTAACATGTTAACATATTCATCATCCATGGACCAGTGGGTTAAAGATGGGAAAATAGACAAGGATAACCGATCAGTTCAAAATATTCATGGCAAACAAACTTTGCCATTCAACATTTATGCAGATTCATAGCCATGAGATGCATAGAAAAGCAAGCAAACTACATTGACATCCTGTGTGGGAGAAATTTCCTGCTCATTTAAGACAAATTTGAAGGGGAAAATAGAGCCCTCATAATAACAGAAATGCAATAAATTTAATTCCATATGACCCTTTATCAGCTCCAACAAGAATCTAAAGGATTGCTGTTGCCGTTGCTTAGAGATCAAATAACAGTATAAATGGTGGAAAAGAAAATAAACCTTACCTAAAAATTATCGTTTCGAGATCGAACGGATACTCGATGATCCCAGAGGTAGGGGCTCTTGCTCGAAGAACATCCTGTTCTGTAGGGAGATAGTCGGGCTTGGCTATTCGATCTAAATCCGTGAGGTAGCTAAAAGATCGAGAAAAGCAAGCTCTGTAAGAATTACAAGTTACGTTACCATAATGTAAAAGAACAGAAGTTGACTCCGATAATGCGAGAGAAAATTCGCAACTGTCGATAGTTCGCAAAAATGATTCGCGATCTAAACTTTTACCATCTCCAGGGCATAAATATTCGAAGCTGAATTTCTTCCTTGGGTGGTTTAGAGATGGGGTTAGAAGAGGCCAAGTGAAGCAAATTGCATTTTCAAAAGCTGCTGCTCATTATCTGAGCACAATTTCAAGCAAAAATTGACAAGCCATCTTGCCGCGCGAGGGTATCATAGCTCGCGAACAAAATATTGCTAATTCTAAAATGACTGGTGATACGTGTTTTAAAATCAAGGCCGAAAGAAGATAAAAAAGAAATAAATTTGACTACTAGCAATAACTTTCGGAAACAAAGGCATTCAATGAGGATATTCCAGATGGGATGAGAGAAAAACGAATGTGGCGTGAATATTTGGTAACTAACTCCCCAAGTTGTAAGCACAAATACAGAAGGCTATTTTCGAGAAACGGATGTTTCAGCAAATCCGTCAGTTGAAACAAAATATTTCAATAAGAAAAAAGTATAGGAAAGGGAAGGAACATTATGATAATCTTACTATTTAGCAGAATCGCTGAGTTGGTACTCTCTTCTTCTGTCGTAACATTCTTGCATGCCTTGGTCACACCAAAGTGATTTAGTAGCTTCGTAATATGAATTTTCGAAGGTCGTTACATTTTTAGGATCTATTTCTCTAATGTACTTGGCGTTCTCCTAAAAAAAATGGAAAATAAACGTCAAATTTTTAAGGAACATCAACACAAAATTCGCACACAAAAAAAATGAAATTGAACTAAGCCTTAGAGCCTTCAAGAGCGGGCAGATTTTCAACCAATTGAGGAATAAAATAACGTAAGTTAAAAACAAGGTCATAAAGTATTCGAGAAGTCTATTCAGACCTTATTACTTGGATCCTTGTAAGGGATATTCAAAGATTCCATTGCTGTCGTAAGGGAGTGCATCGCTGTTATTATGTTCTGGTAAACCAAAGGGATGTAGCTTCGCTTGTCTTCTTCATTGTAGCCTTGGCCGTGTATAATTCTCATCTGTTTTATAAACGTACTTTTGCCTGATTCTCCAGTTCCTGTAAAAAGAGTACATCCCACATTAATTATAGAATCTCGCTTGGAAACATCCCGCACTTGCTAACGAAATGTGTACAGAAACAACATTCGCTCCAAGGTTCGACATTTCCATGCTGAGCCAACAACTTGAATTTTGCTGGTCGACAATAAAGCCCTTTTAACTTATTTATTCAATATGCAGGTTACAAGAAAGTCTTAATTTATTTAGGGGCAGTGAGGATTAAATTTGGGTATTTATACCAAACATGATAGAGCGCTAACAACATGGAGTCGAGAAGGTCTGGAACAATCGAACCTCGCGAGAGCGGTCAAACACACATTCACCGATCTCGCAAAGTCAGAAAACCGAGCGCTCCTCGCTTCATTTAAAGAAATCTACATCTATATGAGTGTATAAAGCATATTTATGTATATATATTTCTATATAAATGTATATGTTTTATATTTATGTTTTTATCTGTGTTTTGTCGAGCGAGCATCTCCATGCGACCAGTTTTGAGCAACAGCTAGCGCGGTTCTTCCTTTACATTCGATCAAATATGAATGCGTTCGAATACAACATAACCCATGCTCACCGAGTAAAAGCAATTTCAGTTCTCTCCTTTGATTTTTCTTGTCCTGTCTGAGCTGTTTTTCGATCTCTGCGTTGATTCGTCTGATCTCCCTCTGTTCTTCGCTCAAGCAGCACGTCATCTTGAAAGAACAAATTGCCCCCGATCGCCACAACCAAAACCAGCGATGGCGTCAAAAGCAACGACAGTTGTCCTTTTCGCTCCTCGTGCCCCTAATGGAGCTACGAGTTCACTGTTACCACCGAATTTATTCTTCCAAAGTGATGATCCAGCTCACTTGTTGTAGGGCGTAGGCGAGCTTCGATAGCTTTTTCCCAGAAATCATTGAAAAGCTTCCACAAGAGCAGCCCACCCATATAAGGCTATGACCTCCATATTTGGATGCAAATTGTCCTCGCCCCAGACAAGAAATGCAGTTTTTTCCGCCCCCTAGGAACGCCTGGCGATATTTGAAGCTGTTTTCTTCCGCCATTTTGTGTTGGAAAGGAGAGTTAAAATTTTGTAGCGTTGGCGCAGCGGAATTGACTGTAAAGGGACGAAATGATGAAGGATTTATTCTTCGAAATCCTTTCTTTGTCTAAAATGACAGAAAGAATCCACAGTCAGGGAGAAATGATCTGATAAAGGGTGATGTATAAACAACCACTTGACAACTTAGATACAGACATATTTATCCTTTAAGAAAAACAATAGTCATGTATCTTGTTTTTATATCATTGTTGATAATTTAAAATGTTAAATGATATTTTTTCATTAAATTCAATGTCAACTGATGTGCATTTTGATTATTATTCCTTAGACTCAAGTTATTAGCTTGTAGAAAATGCTGTCTTTAAAGCGTGGCAGCTGGTTAAGGTCTTCAAATCACTAAAGCCACCAGGAATTGAGACTGCAGTAGGCATATTTTAAATCCTGTGAGTCAGAACTATATAGAGAGCAATCCCTAGCTACAGTCAGTGTGCCACTGATTTTCCCTTAAAGTTGCTTTTATCATATGATTTGAACGTGATACAAACATCCATATTCTTGATCCACACACTAATCCCTTACCTGATCCACTATTAAATAAATCTACCTGTTGTAGCAAGTTGAAACTAAGATGACCAAGCCTTTGAAAATAGCCCAGATTAGACTGCCAGGCAATTAGACACTTAATGTGTGAAAGGAATATGCTATATTAAAGGGTTCATTTTGTGTTTACTTCACAGTGAATAAACACACACCAGAACAAGGCAAAGAAGTGTATTTCTGGTGAATGCCTGGTATGAAAAAATGTATTCAAACTGTGTTTCATGAATTGAGTATCTCCAGCAACTGACTGTGTTTCCTACTACAAACATGCATACACACAAGTGAATTGTTATTATACTGAAGTTACATAAAGTCTTAACAAATTTAAACAGCAGCCTGCAGTTTTCATAATAATAAGCAGTAAGATCTCCATAAATGTTTGTTGACTGTCACAAGACCACTTAAGTAGATTCCATGTGGGTCATGTAAATGCAAATCAAAGAGATAAATTAATAAATCTGTTTACTTATAGTAAAACCGTAAGTGCAAGTTTAGTGAAAAAGTCTTGATAATATACTTTTGATAATCATCATCATTATCATTCCTCAACGTAATTCACAGTGCTGATACCACCAAGGTGTGTTTCAGTTGGTTCCTGCAAGAACTTAAGAATGCAGAAATGTAAGCTGATGTCACTACTAGCATCCTACAGTAGATGACAATCGCGTGCTATACTCATCTATCTACCTCCAAATTTCTATCCTGGCTTGGAACCTTGGCTGCATTGCATCTAGTGCAAACAAAACACTAGTCAGAATAATTTAAGTTAACAATCCTTGTAGTTCTTTTAACTCACAGGCCGCAATAAAATAAGAAAAAAAGAATGATAATAAAGGGGTCACGAAGATCATAACTTATCACGCTAAAATAAAATTTAAAAATACTACCACTTGGATTTCTGAGAATAAACAATGTAAGCCAGTGAAAACTGCAGAGCTGTTAACAAAATTTCACCCAGTAATTGCAACAGAATTTGCATATATTGTTTTGGGGGCGGGGTGGGGGGGAGCAGTCTGGGGTTCAATTCCCAGGACCAGACCAATACTTAGGGTGACTCTTAAAATAACTGAGAAATGAAGGTACTTTCTTTTCCCATCCCACCAGAATTTTATTTCAAAAGCAAAACGAAAATAGAGCCATGATCTCAGGTTAAACAAATGGTGAACTTTTTGGATGGTCTAGGATCATTGACCACGTAAAATGGTGGTCCTGGTCCCGTCTCTGGAAAGAGACATAAAACAGCCATCTCTCCTGGCTCCTCATTGCTAGGGATGTTTCTCCAAGAGAGATGTCCACGCTTCAGCAACGTGAATTCCATACTGATGACATAAAATCTGTTTGGAATCTGGTCAGGAGCTCTGATTGGTCAACATAGTAATATTTGTTTTAGCTGCTGTTTACGAACAAAAGACAACAGACAAATGGCCATAAAGGTCAAAGGTCTACTTCAAAACAGTTCTACTTGTGGAATATATTCTTTTTTAGAAGAAGCACACAACTTAACCAGAATCGATCAAGAGAAACATAAAATAAAACAAATTTTCATTTTTGGAACCCCATGACTGTGGGATTAATTATGTCAACATTGATTTTTATCATCAGTATGCAATTTCTGTCGGTGAGGAATGGTCATCCCGCCTGGCAAAACATCCCTCGTGGCAAGGAGCAAGGAGAGATGGGTGTTTTCACAGGATAGTAAAAATATAGTGTCCTCAATAAGTACTTTCCTGCTAAATACAGTCGAACCTCCCATAAGCGACCAACAGTACTGAAAGGCAAATACTGAGTGGCCGCATATGGGAGGTAGTCGTTTACAAGAATATTGAACCATAGGGGGTCTCTTCCAAGAAGAGGTGCGGGGCACATCTTCTTTATGAAAGATAATTTATTGCATGCAAAGTCTAAGTTAGGATCTGTGTAGTTCGATGTTGTCCCTAAAGTTCTTTGTATATTCAGCATCTAAGTAACATAGTGCACACAGTTAAAATAGAGATCAGAGAATGCGTCAAGTGGTCGCTTACAAGAGGTTAAAAAACAATGGAAAATTATTAACCGTCAGGCCCAAAAAATGGTCGCGGTTGCTTACAGGAGGTGGCCGTTTACTAGAGGTTCCAACTGGAAGGCTTTGAGTGGGAAAATTTTGGTGATTTGGATTCGTGGTCTCTTAACAGAGGTGGTCACCCATGGAGGTTTGACTGTACATTGATGTACAAAAAAGTGCAATTTTAGCCAATTAGGAACCTTTTCATGTTGTAAAACACGGATAGATAACCCTCTAGTTTTAAAACTACATTTGCATGCAACAATTTTAAATAATCTCTAGTGGTGGCAAAAAAATTTCCATGTCTGATTGGTTTGGTTTTTGGTTTGCAAAGCAGAGGCAGTACCTTCATTTCTTAGTTATGTTAAGACCCCACATGAGTATAGGTCCCTGGTATTGAACTCAAGTCCTCTTGCTCTGCTGCCAAGTGTTCTATCGACCGAACTGGTCCTGCCGAACTGAGCTGAACTTGTGTCATTTAATTACGCATACGGAAATGAATAAATATTGTGTTTGTATTTTAGAGCTTTGCATTTTCTGTAGAATTTTTGGGTCTTATAACTTATCTCTGTCTTATCTCTGTCTAACTTATCTCTATCTCTGTAGATCAAACACAATTTTAAAATCCTTTAGTGAAAATGAAATGTAAAAGTATTTTTTCATTATTTTTCCCTTTAAATTGTAAACATCCGACAGTGTTGTTGCTACATGTTATTGGAGACTTCTGAGTGCTAATAACTATTGATGCCTTTTAAAAAAGTCCTGAAAAGGTGGCAGAGTTTGGCAGCTTCAGCGCTTACTCTTTTCTTATTTTTCTTGGTCCTTCATTCAATCCTGCACATCTTTCTCTGTTTTGGTCTTTTGATACTCCCTCAAACTCAAACTCATTCAGGTTATATTTTTGCCTTAAACAAACTGTCAAAACTTTGTTAAATTTCCTGACACTGCTTCTTTAAGTCAACCCAAAATAGACCTGTATACTTCAGAAAATTGAAGCAGAAAAGCCAGCATGTAATGATACTGCTTCATAGATAAACCCTTTTTTCTGGTCATTTTCTCTATTTGATAATTGGGACAAGGAAGCCAACCTTAAAAGTAGTTCATCCTCAGCTGCCCCAGCATTTAAGAGATTAAGCAAAGGCGTTTTTGAGTGATGCACATCAACTTGAAGTGAGACGTTTACCGTTTTAAATTTTGACGATTTCCAAATTCGTTATTCATATTGTCTTTGTCCCCTTATAGAGACTACTTAACCAAAAATGTTGGCGAAACCACCACCGAATGTTCCAAAAAGTCCACTTCCGGCTGTTGTACGTCTCTCAAAAACGTCAGTTTGCTTTTTAAATTCCCTATCACTTCCAGCGTCTTTCCTCTTTCCTTTAGTTTGTAGTCACCTTACCCCCACTCCACCCCTCCCCTTTTTTTTGTTCCCCCCCCGTCGTATATCACCATGATCACTAACTTAATGGAAAAACTGGTGGGTGTTTTTATTTCTTTATTTCTTTTTATTATTTATATTTTTTTCTGGAAAGGAAGTTTTTATTTTGGGTTGAATGGCCTTTGAAAAAATTGGATCTCGTAAATTTAAATGTGTAACTCGAGGATCTCGTCTTCTTGACAGATCTCCACTTCGGCGATTCTCGTGGTTGATTTTCCCATTGATAGGGTCAAATCGAGTTAAAACATGGTCAAGTACACTTCAAATCGATGATTGTGGCTTGCGAGAAAAATTGTACCCTCTCACCTGTTTTGTTCTTCAATCAAATTGTATTTAATTCTTGTATGATTTATACTAAGTAGTTCAGCTGATTTAGGAGTACAATTTAGAGGCAAAGGTGAAAGGTTTTTGGTCAAACTGCGCGTTGCTGTCTTGAGCGGAAGATATAGGGGTAATCGTGAGATGTAAACAACTTTCTTTTGCCGAAGGACTAAATACAGCGCTATAAAAACGTCATATTAATTGCTGAAAGAACTAGTCTGGCGGCCACCTGAGTGGCCACGTGAGTTCT